TTAAAACTTGAAAAATCTAAAGATTGGAATTAAAAACTGCAAAATTGTCAAACAAATTATCAAATTTAAAAGTAACTAAAAATCTAAAAATTAAAAAAAATGAAAACTGGAATTTCGAATTCGATTTTATAAGAGTTGTTTTTTTTTCAATTTTTCGATATTTCAGTTTTTGATTTTCCGATTATACAATTGTACAATTTTCCGATTTCTCATTTATCCGATTTTTCAATTTGTCATTTTTTATTTTTAGCAAGTACTGCCCCACCCACCCACCCTTTATTTTCTTACAAGATCTGTCATTTACCAAAATGAGTCATATACTTACCAAGATAAGATTGATTTTGCCAGATGACCCACTCTTCTAAGAAAATAAAGGGTGTGTGGGCGAGACTTTTTTTATAAAGAAAATTGATCTTGCTCCAGAACCATAAACACACTATGTTTTTCAATTCAACTCGAGATCTGTATCCCAATCTTTTTTGTCGATTTTCAGACGTTTTCAAAAAATAAAATTTTTTTCAGCTTTGATATTTGATCACCTTCGAAAATATAAAGAGATTTTTGTAGATTTCAAAGTGAAATTAATTATCAGTAAGAAATATTGTAGTAATTTTATGGATTATTAAAAAATTTTAGTTTCAAACCGAATTTTTAGCCAACATTTTGGAACATCTTTGAAATTTACCTAAAGAGATTTTTTGTTGATTTCGACGTTCAGAAGCTCGTTTCGGTTTCGTTTCATTCTATTTTTCCAAAATCGTCACCATGAATTTTTAGGATTTAAAAAAAAAGTGAGTCCTAAGCCGAATATTTCGAAAATCTTGCCCCAGGATCGTATTTTGACATTTTTTTGTGGATTTTTAGACATTTTCGAAAAGCAAGATTTTTCAATTCCGCGTTTATGAAATCTTCGATTTTTTCGAGCATCTTCGAAAATTACCTAAAAATTTTTTTGAAGGTTTCAAGTTCCAGAATTTAATTTCAGCTTCATTTCTTCGAAAATTCAGTCTATTTTTCCAAAATCGTCATTATAAATTTTTATGTGAATTTTTCAACAGCTCAATTTTTCAATTTTTATGAAAGCTTTAAACCTTTTTTGAATACTTACTTGAGATTTTTGCAGTGGCAATTTTTAGTATTTTTTCCCAAATTCAGACAACATTTTCAAAAAGCTCACTTTTTCAACTTGTATCAAATTTTTGACGTTTTTTCGAACACCTTTGGAAATTACCTGTAGAATTTTTTTTGTAGATTTCTACATCCAGAAGTTACTTTCAGATTCAATTCTTCGAAAATTCACACCATTTTTCAAAATCATCAAGATAAAATTAATATTTTTAAAAAAATTTTTACCTTTAAACCAAATATTTCCCAAATCCAGCTCTTTTTTGTGGATTTTTGGCAATTTTTCCAAAAGTTAAGTTCTTCAATAGCTGATTAGAGATTTTTGTGGAGACTTCGACCTCCAGAAATTATTTTCGGCTTCATTTTTTAGAAAACTTGTATCATTTTTTCAAAATTGCCCATATGAAACATGGTCATTTTTAGGATTAAAAAGGAAATTGATTTTCAAACACGCTTTGTCTTTTAAACTAGCTCAATATCTTAATTTTTTTTGTCGATTTTTACACATTTTCAAAAACCCAATTTTTTCAGCTTTGAGGTTTTTCGATCACCTTCGAAAATATAAAGAGATTTTTGTAGATTTCAAAGTGTTTTTCGGCTTCATTTTTTCGAAAATTCCTACCTTTTGTCCAAAATCATCCATATGAAATTGGGCCAATTTTTCAAGTCGAACATCTGAGAAATCCTCCTCCGGGATCATCAATACGATAGGTTTTCGAATCAAATCCTCGTGATCCCAGAATTTTTTTTTGTGAATTTTTAGACTTTTCAAAAAAAACCAATTTGACGTTTTTTCGGTTTTAAAAATCGCAATTTTTCAATCTTGCCGCAATCATTGACTTTTTTCTAGCACATTTGAGTGTTCTCTAGCGATTTTTTTTTAATTTTTCAACCTCTAGAAGTTATTTTCGGCTTCATTTCCTAGAAAACTTCTGCAATTTATTCAAAATCGTCCATATGTCAGTTCTTCGTGATTCTTTAAAAATTCGATTTTCAAATAATTATTTCGAAAATCTTGTTCCAGGACCATAAATATGTTATACTTGTCAAATCAGCTCGAAATCTATGTATAGATATTCCAAAAATTTTTTTGCCGATTTTTTGACATTTTCAAAAAACCCCATTTTTTCATCTTTGAGGTATCTTCGAAAATATCTAAAAAGATTTTTTTTGTAGAATTCGACCTATTATTTTCGGCTTCATTTATTGGAAGATTTTTACCGTTTTTCAAAAATCATCAATACGAAATATAGCAAGTTTTTAGATTATTAAAAATTTTGAGTTTCAACCCGAATATGTATTTTTTTTGTGAATTTTTCAAAAAGCTCAATTTTTCAATTTTTATAAAATCTTTCGAATAGTGCTCATAGATTTTTTTTAAGGTTTCGACATTTGGAAGTTATTTTCGGCTTCATTTTATTGAAATTGTTGCAATTCAAAAGATGACAGATTTTACGAATTTTGAAAAAATTGATTTTCAAATCGAATATTTCGAAATTCTTGCTCTAGGATTACTGAAAAATGAAAATTAAATTTTTGACATTTTCTTAAACACCTTTGGAAATTATTTAGCGAGATTTTTTTGGAAATTTCGACCTCCAGAAGTTATTTTTCGCGTTAATTCTTCGAAAATTCCCATTTTTTCAAAATCGTCAGTATGAAATACAGTATAACCTCGACAATCCGAATTAATTGGGGAAAGGAGTGTTAGGATTAACGATTTGTTCGGATCAGCGAATTTTCCAAAAAACTGAAAGGGAATTGAATAACAACTTCATACACTTTTTTTAATTTTATTAAACAGAAATAAAAAATATTACTCCGTGCTTCATTTCTTCGATAACTTAAACCGTTTTTCCAGAATCGTCCATTGAAATATCGCAATTTTTAAAAATTTCAAAAATTTCGAATTTCATACCGAATTTTCGAAAAATATTGCTCCGTTACCATCAACAATAAACAAGCTATATTTTTGGAATCAGCACGTCGGAATATATATATCTCTGAATTTTTTCAGAACTTTTAGACAACTTTTTCAAAAATGAAAGTTTACACTATGGTAGTACTTGCCAAATAACCTACCTTCAAAAAAAGAAGCGAGTGGCCCAGGCTAGTATTTGCCAAAATAAGACTCATTTTGACAAATGACCTACTCTTCTAAGAAATGGTACTAGACCCGCCCACCCACCCACCCACTTTTCTTAAAAGAGTAGGTCATCTGCCAAAATCAATCTTATCTTGGCAAGTATGAGACTGATTTTTGCAAATAACAGATCCTCTAAGAAAATAAGGGTGGGTCGGCGGGGATAGTACTTGTCAAGATAAGACTGATTTTGGCAAATGACCCAATCTTCTAAGAAAATAAGGGTGGGTGGGCGGGGATAGTACTTGTCAAGATAAGACTGATTTTGGCAAATTACGTATGATTTTTCAATTTGTCATTTTTTTATTTTTAGGAAGTACTGCCCCACCCACGCAGTCTTTATTTTCTTAGAATAAGAGAAGTCATCTGCCAAAATCAGTCTTATCTTGGCAAGTACTAGCCCCCCGCCCACCCTCCCTTATTTTCTTAGAGGATATGTCATCTGCCAAAATCAGTCTCATCTTGACAAGTACTAGTCCCGCCCACCCACCCTTATTTTCTTTAAAGAGTGGGCCATCTGCCAAAATCAGTCTTATCTTGACAAGTACTAGCTCCGCCCACCCACCCGTATTTTTTAGAAAAGTGGGTCATCTGCCAAAATCAGTACTAGATTTTGGCAAATGACATATCCTCTAAGAAAATAAGGGAGGGTGGGCGGGGGGCTAGTACTTGCCAAGATAAGACTGATTTTGGCAGATTACTTATTCTTCTAAGAAAATAAAGGTTTCGTGGGTGGGGCAGTACTTGCTAAAAATAAAAAAATGATAAATTGAAAAATCGGATAAATGAGAAATCGGAAAATTGTGCAACTGTATAATCGGAAAATCAAAAACTGAAATATCGAAAAATTGAAAAAAAAAAACAAATCTTATAAAATAGAATTCGAAATTCCAGTTTTAATTTTTTTTTAGTTTTTAGATTCTTCAGCTTTTAAATAATTCATTTGATAATTTGTTTAACAATTTTGCAGTTTTTAATTCCAATCTTTTGATTTTTCAAGTTTTAACTTTACAATTTTGGAATTTTTTGATTTTTAATTTTTCCAGTTCTCAAGTTAAAATTTTTCCTTTTCACGATTAGTCATTTTTCGATTTTTTAACTAAAAGAACAAATTTATCCGAACCGAAATTTTGAAAAACCGAAAAATCCAAAAATTGAAAATTAGAAACAAAATTTTCAGATGTTTTAAAGTTACGGTAAACATGGCAGATTGCTGATCAAAATTACTTTTTACTCCCTTCCAAAAACCCGCTGACAAAAAATCAAAAATCGAAAATTTAAAAAATAAACATCTGTTTTCTCGATATTTTTAAAAATCAAATAATTGAGAAATAGGAAAACTGCCAAAATTGTAAAATTAAAAAATCGAAAGTTTTGGCAGATGACCCACTCTTCTAAGAAAACAAGGGTGGGTGGGCGGGGCTAGAACTTGTCAAGATAAGACTGATTTTGGCAGATGACCCACTCTTCTAAGAGAACAAGGGTGTGTGGGCGGGGCTAGTACTTCTCAAGATAAGACTGATTTTGGCAGATGACCCACTCTTTAAGGAAACAAGGGTGGGTGGGCGGGGCTAGTACTTGTCAAGATAAGATTGATTTTGGCAGATGACCCACTCTTCTAAGAAAATAAAAAATAGTTTTTTTTACTGTTTTATTTTTCTAAAATTTGTATCATTTTTCCAAAAGATATACAAAAATGGATGTGTGCATCATTCTGTAATAAAATATCCCATTTACAAAACAATATAGTTTATTTTCAAATCTTAAATCTACTAAAATATCACATAAAAAACCTAGTCTACTAGTACTAATAATAATAATAATAATAACAATAAAACAGTAGACATTAAATCAACAATAGACCAAAACTCATATTACAGACCCCTTACTGACAAAATGAAATCTGGCCCCTTCAACCTTAACAACCCTGTACAACTCGCACACTACAAACGGGATAAGACACGTCAACCCCACATACCCATAATATGGTATAGGTGGTGTAGACCCAAACGGGTACACCCAAAACCCCCTCCTCGTAGCGTCCCTCGTATGGTGGCTCACAAAAGCCGTTAAAACAATCAAAGAAATCTTTTTCCACACCTCCACCTGACACAGGTAACTCAGCAACAACAGCCCCAAACAAAAAATCACCGGAAACGTAGAACAGTGAAGCGGTGGTCGCTTCGATAAGCTCGTAGCATCCTAAAACAAACCCGTTTCAATAATTATATTTCGACACACTACGTCAGACTACTTTTAACCGAAAAGACCGCGCTGACACGAAATGGTCAACGTCGATTAACGACGCAACTCCGGCACACGCCGCTATTTCTAGCAATGTTTGTAAATGAGAGCGGTTTTTGTAGTTTACACAGACGTAGAGCCACGACAGCCCCCCGACTGTGGCATGAGTGGCGTTATCGAAGAGAGCTTGAAAGAGGTGAAGTTTGGTGTGGGAGACGATGTAGTCACCGGTGATTGAGGTTAGGGCAAGGAGGGCTAGGATGTAGTGGTTTAGGGCGAAGATGGTGGATGGGTGAGGGAGCCATAGAGACACCATTAGTTATCATGGGGTACAAAGCACCATTATTATCACCTAACCTAAAAGTTTGTTTTGACATGTCCATAGACATGGTGACGTTTAGCGGTCATGCGCACTCGTGCGGAGACAATTCGCGTAGTGAGGAGGTAGAGGACCCAAAATACACTTATGTAGACTTTTTTAATAAAAAAAACTGAACAATTATGTATCTTCTTCCCTCATCATCAAATCCCTCTGCGTAACTATATACAAGTACGCACTCACTGGTATCATAATCACCAACTTCAGAATACTCGACCCATATAAATACACTACAAACCCAGCGAAAATGGGCGCAAAAATATTAGCCAGAACCGTCAAAGTCTTGTCGGCTTCGCATACATCTGGGTCGGTTTTCAACTTTAGAAAATCACTAACAAACAAAGAGTTTACAAGAGCGTAACTAAACATTAGCATCATGTGGAGGATTAAGTAGCACTTATACGTGGGGGCGTAAAACAAGCCAATCAGCAAGCAGCCTCCGATGACCACGTTATACTTGAAGAGAATTTTGTCGTTGGAGACTTGTCTTCGAACAAACGGGACTAAGCAGCTACAGATGAAAACTATTAAGTTGTCGTAGGCCTGAACGTAGCCTAAAAACGTCGCAGATATTCCGTACGTATTAAGCAAGATGTAGACGCAACGGATCAAGAAGAGCGCGAACGTTAAAGTGTAGAGGGTTTTAAGTGTGATGCTGAAGGAGTGTCTGTGGAAATCCGTAGTTCTGAGTTTCTTGAGTTTTTGGAAGCAGATGTAGGGGATTTGGTGGAAGTGTGTATCTGGTTTAGGCATCTGCGAGTCATCGCTGTCTACTTTGGTCGACAAAACTGAAACTAAGAAGTGTAGTGGGTTTAGGATCATTGGAACGAACTTACTGATACACATGAGGAGGCAACAGCTTGCAACCGTAGCGTTCCAAGAGATTTTTTTATTACATTCGTACACGTATCCTCCAGTGATGCAGCCTACTGCAGTCCCAAACGTTTTTGACATATCGATCAAGTTGAAAATTTTGATGTGTTGGTTTTGGGGTTGGGTACGTTGGATGAGGTCTTTGGAAAGATTTACAACGTTTGCAGTGAGTGCTGGACGGAATTAGGGTCGTGTTAGAATCTCTACATTGTCGCACTTACCGTAGAGACACCTGACGACAACACACACTTTTAACGTGTTGTCAAAAACGAGAATAAGAGCGCAGAGGAATGAACAGTATATGGAAATCGTCAGCGCTTGTAATTTTCCTCCGGGTACTAGTGTCTTGAAAAATAAATCAGAACGAACTAAACACAAGTACCAAATTACCAGAACATCATTGGAGAGATTTTGGCAGACGTAGACCGTGGATTGCATAAAACCAACAATGAGTTGGTTCCCTCCTTTCGTTATAGTGTGACGAGGCAAATTCGGAAGCAGAACGCCTGTGCATGCCGAATGCTAAAAACGCTTCGTTGGTATTATTTTAGACAAAATAGTACCCACCAGGAAACTAGTAGCCAAAAGAAGATCGACTTTAGAATATACCATTTCATCTAACTTGATTCCTTCATCTTACCGAAAATTTTGACACCGTTCTAGCACGAGGTACTGTCAATATTGTCAAAATTCAAGTCCAAGACTCTCAAAATGTGACCTAAGAGATGTCACGGGAGTAAGCATGACGCTAACAGACGTCCAGATTTTATTCATAGTCAACTACCTGGTGAGTTTGCACCTTCGAACACCGTAAGTTTCTTCGTTGTAGCATTTTGTGTCTTCAGGGTTAGTGGCACCTTCGCTCCCGTACCATTTCGTGACGAACGGAGGCAACCAGATCCTTCTGGGTTTCTTGGTGTCCGTCACCTACGTCTGTTACAAAATTTCGCGAGACTTCATCGTAAGTACCTAGGTACGACTCTAGTAAATTGTAAACAAATTTCCAGGCCTTGTTCGAGCTTCGCAAAAAAAACGTAATCACCTTCTGCTTGTACTTTTCCTTCATCACCTTCTCGGTGTTGGTTCTCTTCAGAAACCGGTGGGTAATTTTCGCGGACAGGGTGGTGTATGGTGAGTGGTACCGACTTTGTTGCTGTTGATGTTAACTCCATTGTAGCCCTCACCAACCAGATCACTTGGTTTTGTAAAACATACGTGGGACGAACCCAACCTAGATCTTCGTACGTCAAGATCTGCAACCTCCTCGACATTGTCAACGTCATCGGTACTGCCACGGGTGCGCTTATTGGTGGCTACGCTTTCGACTTCGTTCAAGACTTCACGCTGATGGCTCTTGCCGCAGCGCTTCTAACTCTGCTGGCCCTTTGTAGGTACCACCAGGCACAGCTTCCGTTCGCAATGACCGCACTTTTCAGATTTCGCACAGAATATCGAGCCCGACCCAATCAGTACCCGTAAGCGAGCAGAGTTTTTCTTCGACTTGCCTACGATTTGGTACGACCGTTTCGTCAATCTTAGGGAGACGGACTATCGCGAAAAGTGGGACAGTGTGCTTTTAATTGGCGTTTACACGTTCTCCTCCACTATCTACTACTCGCGCTACGCCTTCTTCGTCAGTTGGGCTTACTACTCGGGTACTACTATCATTGGTAAAGCCGTGGCGTACCAGTGCGTGGTGAAATTCATCATTCATCTGTTGGTACCGTTCTTCAAGATCCAGATTGTCAAGAAGACGTTGTTCTTTAACTGGTGTTTGATCATTTGTGCGCTGATGGCTTGTGCGCTTTTCGTTGCCCCGAGTATGTTAGCTTATAATATCATATTTGTGCCTTTGGTTGTGTCATACTGTTTCATTAACGAGTTCCTCGCGGACGATATTTTCAAATTTGAGCACGATGTGGCTTTGGGGGAATCGGTGGCTACTATAAGGATTCTCGTTAGTGGGATAGGTCCTATTTGTTTCGGAATTTTGTGCCATTTTTACGGCAGGCAAGCTCTTCGGGTTTTGCTGCTTTTCCCAATCATGGCGTTAGTGCATTTTGTGCGGATGAAAATAGTGGGACGAGAAAGCGAATTTTGTGGCGACAGCGAAGAGGAAGAGGAAGAGAAAGAAGAAGAAGAAGAAGCACAACACTACAAAAACGACTAACTTAACAGAAAACTGTTTTATAATTTTTCTGAAATAAAAACTCAAAACGAAAAATTGACATTTGCGTCAGTCTTGTCATGCGAACTTTTTCCACCATGAACCTGACAAACGTTCAGCTTTTATTAGTCGTCAATTTCTTGGTGAGTTTGAATTTTCGGTTTTGTCACACGTTTCGTCCTAGTATTATCTATCTTCAGGTTTCATTAAACCAGTGCTGACGACTCACATTTTAAGGCACGGAGGCAACCAGATTACCCTAGGTCTTCTGATTTCTTCGCGCTACGTGTGTAACAAAATTTCGAGAGATTTTGTCGTAAGATCACGACCGTCGCAGTGATAGTGGTACTAATTTCGAAATTTAGGCTTTGTTTGCGTATACCAACAAGTCTGCGATAGCGTTTTGTGTGATTTCGTCTGGTACCACGTACTTGGCGTTGCTGTTGTCGTATAACCCTTGGTTGGTTTTCGTGGATAGATCAGTACATGGTAAGTAGTACCGTCAACTAGAATAGGTACTAATTGTGGGCAGCACTCATCAATCAAGTCAATTGGTTCACACAAGAATATGGCTTAAGAAATCGCCCTTCGTTCGGATGTTTTAAGCTTCTGTGCGTGGTCAAGGTTGCTGGTACTGTCATCGGTTCACTCACCGGAGGGTACTTCTACCACACGACTCGATGGTTCTCTATAGTGGTACTAACGGCGACTTTGGTCACACTTTTGGCTCTTAGTAACCACAAACGCGTTTCTAAAGACACAACTATATTAACTTTTTTAGTTGTCTTGCGGTATGTAAATCCGGACGTTAAGTGTAACAATGAACAGGAAAAAAGCTGGTTTTTCCTAACCAAGTACTTCCCGAGTCTGGAAAACCTGCAAAAAGCGAAGTACAAACAAAACTGGGACAAAATTGTCGTAATCGTGGTCTACACTTTCAGTTTTAACATCTACTTTTCACGGTTTATTTTTCTACTAGTTTCTAAGTTTAAAGCCGGTACTGCTACAATCGGGCAAGTTCTAGCCTACTTCCATTTGTTACAATTCTTGTGTAACTTTTTCGCGCCGGTAATTAAGAGTCAGGTTAAGAACAAAAAAGCCCTTTTTGAATATAGTTTGGCCGTTTGTGCCTTTAGCTTGTATGGTGTCTTGTACGCCCCTACCGTAGACGCGGTTTGTGTTATTTGTTTGCCTATGATGGTCACGTACACTCTGGTAAATTCGTTGCTGAAGGACGACGTCATGAAGTTACGACCCGAAAACTTAGCCGACATTGTTGGGACTATCAAAATTTTGGTTAATATCGTGGGACCGGTTTGTTTTGGGATTTTGTGTCACTTTTTCGGACGAAGGGCGTTCTACGTGATCGTGGTTTTTCCTTGTGTGGTTTGCCTATATTTGCTTTATCAGGGGTACTTGGAAGCGAAAGAGCAACGAAGACGTGAAGATCAGTGATGAAACTTTGTTAAAAAATAAACGTGTGAGTGTCAGTTTGAAGTTTTTTGAAACCAGGTTCCTTCAAATTCATAGCTGTCAATGCTCGTCTTATTGTGAAATCGTGCTCAAGATGCCTCTAACCAACGCCCAACTACTAATAACAGCCAACTTTCTGGTAAGTTAGCTTTGAAGCGTCTTGGTCACACCTTCTTAGCATTTTGTAGCGTCAGGATTAATGAAATCGTCCTTCATCGTCCACTTCGTGTCGAACGGAGGCAACTACTTTATTCTAGGTCTGTTAGTGTCGTCTTCCTTCGTGGCTGCCACCCTGTCGAGATATGTAGTCGTAAGTTGGACGTTTTTCCTGATCCTTCTTCTATACGGTCGTTCCAGGCCATCATCGACCTCAACAAAAAATTCGCAATCACGTTTTGTCTATATTCTACTTTTTGCACTTATTTTTTGTTGATGTTTTCGTCCAACCGCTGGACGCTTTGGCTTTGTAGAACGTGCTATGGTAAGTAGTACCACGCTTGGTTAAAAAATAACTCTCGATAGTACTCACCAATCAGATCTACGATCTGTCGCAAGAGTTCTTGGAAACGAACGAAGAGTTCTCTCTGAGGGGTTTATCGCATCTGCTCAAAGTAACCAAGTTTGCGGGTACCATAACCGGTGCCATCGTGGGTGGTTACGTTTACGACGCGTCTGGTAGTTTTCTTTCAGTGGCGGCGGGTACTAGTCTTGTCACACTTCTAGCTATTAGTGAGTACTTCCGACGCTAAGACACATCGGAGATTGGTTTTTTCAGGTTTCGTACAAAATCTAGAACCGGAAGTTAGAAATACAAGGAATAGATTGTCGCTGCAGCCTTTAAGAAAATATTCCTCTGGAATAAAACTCTTACAGTACAGACAGTATCCGCAAAAGTGGAAGAGGGTGGTACTAATGCTGGCGTTCACTTTCGTTTATAAAATTTATTTCTCGGGGTTCATTTTTCTGGCGAATTCGCCAGACGAAATCAGTACTATTTTGATAGGGTTTTCCGTGGCTTATCGACGCATTGTGATGTATGCGTATAATGTCGTAGTACCGTTTATGCAGAAGATGGATATAAACACGAACCTCCTCTTCGATTACTGTTTGTCTGTATCCGCTAGTTCTTTCTGCGTACTTTCTCTAGTCCCCAATCGTGCGACTTACTTCTTCGTTTTTCCCCCGTTGGTACTCACCCACACACTCATCCACTCGTTCTTCGGGAACGATATTATGCATTTACGAGGCGCCAGAGGCCTAGTCGAGTCCGGTATTTTAATCAAAGACTTAGTTTCCTTATTCGGACCCTTCTTTTTTGGAATTTTGAGCCAACACTTCCCGCTGATGGCGTTTCGCACGTTGATGATCTTCCCCATAATGGTATGCGGATACCTATGCGAGCAAAGTTTTTACTCCAGAGAAACTTGACGTCACGTCACTGTCACTTTCGTCCACTTATCAAAATCTTCCGTTTTTTGCACCACTTTTTCTACAAACCACAGCTTCACAAGGATGTGATCTTGAAAAACAAGCGTATTAATCGAAACCCAAACTTGCGCAACGACGGAAACGTCAAGCGTGGTAAATCAAGAATAGCATGAAACCACTGTCGAGAATTGCGATTTTGCGCTGGGTAAAGTAATGATACCAATAAGTGTGCAGTTGCTCTTGCTTGGAAATTTTTTGGTGAGTGGATAGGTGGTTCGTGAAGGGTCATGTTTTTTGTTTAGTTTCATTTAGGTTCGGGGTTGATGGTACCGATTCTTTCGAACCACGTTGTGAACTGTGGTGGTACCCAGATTCTCTTGGGTGTGATTTTCTCGTCGATGTATGTGTGCAACTCACTGTCCAGACACTTTGTGGTGCGTATTGGTTTAATTGACTCATCTTGTCTTGATGAGTACGTTTTTTTAGAGATTGTTTTCGCTACCGAGACACCTATCCATTCTTTTTTGTTGTTTCTGCTCACTTGTGGCCAATGTAGTACTGATTTTTGTTCACTACCCGAAGATAATATGGTTGGATCGGTGCTTATACGGTGAGTGGTACCCACCCCCACTATCAAATAACCCTGTGGTTTAGGCATCACCAACCAAGTCAGTTGGTTCTCTAAAGAATACGTCGCACGAATGGAGATCGAGTACGTGAAATTTTCCAACTTCCTCAACGTAGCCAAAGTTTGGGGATTGGTACTCGGTACGCTTTCCAGTGGCCACATTTACGACACTCAAGGGTTCACCACGCTTTCAACAACGACAGCAGTTTTGACTTTCCTGAGCTTCGGTAAGTACCACTTGGTTCAAAAACGTACCAGTAACCAATTCGTTTCAGTCGTTTTTCTATTCGTGGAACCCGACCCTCCTAGTACTCGAAGACCCCCAAAACGCCTGCTGTTGCTACCAGGGGTCATTTACAACAGACTAGTCAATTTGTCGCACGCCAATTTAAGCTATCGAATCCACCTCGTCATTTTTTTGGTGGCTTTCGATCTCGCTTTCACGCTTTTGTTGTCGCGGTTTGTTTTTATATTAAGATCGATGTATCGGGTCGGTACTGTCATCCTAGGGTACTACGTGGGGTGCCAGTACATGGTGAAGTTCATATGTGAGGTTTTTTTACCGTACCTTTTAAAACCGGTGAAGGACAGGCAGAGTTTGTTTCGTGTCACCGCGGTCATTTGTAGCTCGTGTTTGAGTGGTTTCAATTTTGCCCCCAGTCTGACTATTTACATGTTCATTTTCCTTTTCTGGCTCGTTTCGTACAGTATACTGAACATGCTCATGGAACAAGACGTTTTCGAGTTGAAACAAGACCCGAGTTTGTACGAAGCAGTGGAAACGCTCAAAGTTATCGTCAATATTCTCGGACCGATTGGGTTTAGCTTTCTGACTTACAACTACGGCCGTGGAGCTGTGGTTGTTTTACATGGTTTTGGTGTTGTCATATACGTTTACCTTTTGTGTGGGTGGCTCCGATAATTTCAAGGAAAAAGAATAAACGTCAGTGTCAAAAATTTTGACATCTAAATTCAAAGTGCCATGTAGACATGGAACCCATCTTCATTCGTGACTGTTGTGTGGTGTTCTAGTACTACCTTCGCGAGTATAATGGTCTTGAAAAGCAACCGTAATAATTAAACACTTACTGGCGCAACCAAGGAAACGTCGATCCTTGGCAAATCAAGAGGATAAGTTCAGTGTAGCATGAAACCACCGAGAACTACAACCGCTGAATTCCCTCTCAGTACTTAAAAGTAATGGAACTAAGCAACGTCACGCTGCTCCTAATCGTTAATTTTCTGGTGAGTACGGTAACAATTCTCGCTCGATAACGTATCTTCTTAGCATTCTATGGCCTCTGGGTTGATACTACCGACACTATCGGACCATATCGTGGCCTGTGGAGGCAACCAAGTTCTCTTGGGTGCGTTGTGTTCGTCGCTGTACGTCTTCAACACACTGTCAACAAATTTCATGGTGAGTACTCGTCATGAATCTGTCACGGTACTAAATTCCTCGTCGTTGTAGACCCTCTTCGAACTAGGTAGAAAAGATTCTCTGACTGTTTCCGCGTACTTCGCCTTCTTCACCAGTCTCGTGTTGGTCTTTTTCAACAACCCAGGTGTAATATGGCTCGACAGGTGCATCTACGGTGAGTACCACAACCCACTAAACACCAATAACCCTTCAACTTTAGCGCTGACGAATCAAGTCAACTGGTTCTCCAAAGAATACGTGATGAACGACATCGAAGAATCACTCCACATCAGATATTGCAACCTCTTAGACGTATCAAAACTCCTCGGAATGGTACTCGGGATGCTGCTAGCTGGTCACGTGCACTCAAATGGTGGTTTCACCACGATCGCGATGGCCATCACCGTCCTCGCGTTTCTAAACATCAGTAAGTACCACCCTTGAAACGCGTACGACTCAAGTACCACTTTCAGTTTTACTGCAATACGTAGAACCCGACCGCCGCCATCTCCGTCGACAACTAAGCAAACTCCTAGAACTCCCGTCCGAATGCTACGACCAACTGGAAAATCTTCGAGATGCGGAACTTGCAGCTGAATGGCCCATGGTTCTTTTTCTTGTGGTTCACACTTTCGTCTTCACGGTTTATTTTTCCAAGCATGTTTATATACTGAAAGCTAGCTACAACCCGAGTCTTATTATTATCAGCTACCATGTGGCGTATCACTTTATGCTCAAATTTCTCTGTGATGTTTTTGTACCGTTCATCCAAAGTCGTTTCCGCCGCAGAAAGAGTCTTTTTAATTTATCGGTAGCGATTTGCGCGATTTCGATTAGTGCCCTTGGTCCGGCTCCCACTCTTGAAGTTTATTGGATGTTCTTCGTACCGATGCTTGCTTCGTATACTGTCATTAACTCGCTTCTGGAAGAAGATTATTTTGAGTTGAGGTGGGATACGAGTTTTCGTGAGGCGGTTAATACGCTTCAGATTATAGTGAATGTTGTTGGGCCGGTGGTGTTTGGGATTTTGTGTGAAACGTTCGGGGCTAGCGCTTTATATTTGTTGCATATTTTTCCTATTACGGTGGTGATTTATCTGGTTTGGCAGTGGTTCTACGACGAAGATCTGGACGATGAAGTTGATCCGGTTTCAGCAAGAAGAGGCGAAGAGGATAAAGAGAAAGAAGATTAGTCTGAGGTGTACGTTGTAGCAATAAAGACCTTTCTAAAGATTGTGCTGTTTTGTGTCTCAGTGTCTAAAAACCCAGATGTTGCTTTATTTTGAGAAAAATCCAAAAACAGGTCAATTTTTAATGGAAAATTTGACGTTGTTATTTTTTTTTTTCGAAAATTCCTCAAAATTGTCATCTTCAAAAACCAGAGTAAAAAAGAAATTTGTTTTTTTCGTAAAGTTAAAAAAATGTTTTGAGAATAATATCATTAATTGAAAATTAATAAAAAAATAATTAAAATATAGTTAACTCAAGAACTTGAACTAGAACCAAGTTGGACTCCAATGATTTTCAAAAATTTTGTCAAAATTTTTAAGTTTTAGTTTTTAAATGATTCTAAGATGATTCAATTAATATTTTATTAAGAAAGTTAGAACGAAATTTGAGATTTGTTTGTTTAATTTGTGGTTTCAAATAGACTTTCAAAAAGCAAAATTTTCCACAAATTCCCAGTCAAAATTTTGTAAAATTAAAAAGGCGTCAATTTTTTTTCTGTGTACGATCTTAGGGTTTTTTCGAAGAAGATTCTATTATTAATATTTTGTGGAGAAAGTTAAAAAGAAATTCGCGATTAAATTGTGGTTTAATATGAACTTATTGGTTTTCAAAAAGCAAAATTTTCCAAAAATTTCGGGTCAAAATTTTGTAAAATCAAGAACAAGAACGCTACAATTTAATTTTTTTCTGCGTAAGGTCTAGTAGGGTTCTACAGCCATATTATTAAGCTTGTTAGGAAATTGTAGGATTTTAGGTTTTTCAGGGTCATGTTCAGGTCAGGTCAAGTCAGGTCAGCGCTTTTGTAAAAAAGTACAACATTTTATAAAAGTACAGTTTGTAGACTGAATTCCGCAAAAATAATTTGTTTTCAATCATCAAAATTCAGTAATACTAAAAACCATTTTTTTTAATTAATAAAAATTGCTAAACTTTCGCATAAATCAAAATTATTCAATAATTAAAAAATTGTAAAAGAGAATGAAACAAATAAGCTCAACACTGAAGTACAGTTACCTCAAAAACTTTTATTGCAGTAAAATTTTTCGTAAATAAAAAATTTTCACTAATTAAAAAATAGTAAAATAGAATGGACCAAAAAAGCTCCACACTGATCTTTATTTAACACAAACAGTTGGGCTGATTCGAGATTTGTTTGATTAATTTGTGGTTTGAGATAAACTTAATGGTTTTCAAAAAACAAAATTTTCCAAAAATTTCCGGTAAAATTTTTGTAAAAGCAAGAACAAGAACGCTACAATTTTATTTTTTTCTGCGAAGGTCTAGTAGGGTTCTATAGTCATATTATTAGCTTGTTAGGAGTAAAAGTACAGTTTGTACACTGAATTCCACTAAAATAATTTGTTTTTAAATCATAAAAATTGCTAAACTTTCGTATAAATCAAAATTATTCAATAATTAAAAAATAGTAAAATAGAATGAAACAAATAAGCTCCACACTGAAGTATAGTTACCTCAAGAACTTATATTGCAGCACGGTAATTTTTTTTATTTTCGAAAATTCGTCAAAATTTTTCAAGATTTTTAAATAAATTCAAAGATGCTTCGATTAATCCAAAATATTTTAAAAACATACAATATTTTGTTAAAAAAAATACAGCTTATTGACTGAATTCAATAAAAGTAATTTGTGCTATCTTCAAAAACCAGAGTAAAAAAAGAAAATATTTTTTTCGTATAGTTAAAAAAATGTTTTGAGAATAATATCACTAATTGAAAATTAATAAAAAAATAATTAAAATATAGTTAACTCAAGAACTTAAACTAGAACCAAGTTGGACTCCAATGATTTTCGAAAATTTTGTCAAAAGGTTTTATTTTAGTTTTTAAATGATTCTAAAACGATTCAATTAATATGTTATTAAGAAGGTTAGAACGAAATTTGAGAATCCTTTGTTTAATTTGTGGTTTCAAATAGACTTTCAAATAGCAAAATTTTCCAAAAATTTCCGGTCAACCTTTTGTAAAATCAAGAACAAGGACGCTACAATTTTATTTTTTTCTGCGTAAGGTCTAGTAGGGTTTTATAGCCATATTATTAAGCTTGTTAGGAATAAAAGTACAGTTTGTAGACTGAATTCTACTAAAATAATTTGTTTTCAATCATCAAAATCCAGTAATACTAAAAATAATTTTTTTAAATAATAAAAATTGCTAAACTTTCGTATAAATCACAATTATTCAATAATTAAAAAATAGTAAAAGAGAATGAAACAAATAAGCTCCACACTGAAGTATAGTTACCTCAAGAACTTATATGTATTGCAGCACGGTAATTTTTTTTATTTTCGAAAATTCGTCAAAATTTTTCAAGATTTTTAAATAAATTCAAAGATGCTTCGAAAAATCCAGAATATTTTAAAAACATACAATATTTTGTTAAAAAAAATACAGCTTATTGACTGAATTCAAGAAAAATAATTTGTGCCATTTTCAAAAACCAGAGTAAAAAAAGAAATTTGTTTTTTCGTAATGTTAAAATTTTTTTAAAGAATAATATCAATAATTGAAAATTAATTTAGAAAATAATTAAAACATAGTTTACTCAAGAACTTAAACTAGAGCCTAGTTGGACTCCAATGATTTTCGAAAATTTTGTCAACATTTTTTAAGTTTTAGTTTTTAAATGATTCTAAGATGAATCAATTAATATTTTATTAAGAAAGTTAGCACGAGATTTGAGATTTGTTTGTTTAATTTCTGGTTTCAAATAGACTTTCAAAAAGCAAAATTTTCCAAAAATTCCCAGTCAAAATTTTGTAAAATTAAAAAGGCGGCAATTTTTTTCTGTGTACGATCTTAAAGGGGTTTTTTCAGATTCAAGTGCAGGTCGGGTCACAGTTGTTGTAAAAAAGTGCAAGATTTTGTAAAAATACAGTTTTTCTTCTAAATTTGATAGAAATTTTTCGTAATTCAAAAATTGTCACTAATTAAAAAATAGTAAAATAGAATGGACCAAAAAAGCTCCACAGTGATGTTTATTTAACACAAAAACTTACACTGGAGTAAGTGAATTTTTCTTATTTCCAAAAGTTCGTCAAAATTTTCTGACATTTTCAAATAATTCAAAGATGGTTCTACAAAAAGGCGTTTGTTTTCAACACTTACAAAATTTTGTTTAAAAAAAAACAGCTTATTGACTGAATTCAGCAAAAATAATTTGTCCAAGCTTCAAAAACCAGTAGTAACACAAACGAAATTTGTTTTTTCGTATTTTTTTTTTTTGGAAAATAGTAACAATAATTAAAAATCAACAAAAGTGATTAGACTAGAAAAGCCTGACACTAAACCATAGTTAACTCAAAAACTTAAACTAGAACCAAGTGGACTCTTTTGATTTTCAAAAATCTGTCAAAATTTTGTACAAGTTTTGAAATGATTCGAAGAAGATTCTAATATTAATATTTTGTGGAGAAAGTTAAAAAGAAATTCGAGATTTGTTTGATTAATTTGTGGTTTAAGATAAACTTAATGGTTTTCAAAAAGCAAAATTTTCCAAAAATTTCCGGTCAAAATTTTGTAAAATCAAAAACAATAGCGCTACAAATTTATTTTTTTCTGCGTAAGGTCTAGTAGGGTTCTGAGCCATATTATTAAGCTTGTCAGGAAATTGTAGGATTTTAGGTTTTTCAGGGTCGTGTTCAGGTCAGGTCAGGTAAGGTCAGATCCGGTCGGTTCATGTCAGGTCAGGTCAGGTTGCTAAACTTTCCTATAAATCAAAATTATTCAATAATTAAAAATAATAAAAGAGAATGAAACAAATAAGCTCCACACTGAAGTATAGTTACCTTAAAAACTGATAGTGCAGCAAGTTATTTTTTTCTATTTTTAAAAATTCGTCAAAATTTTTCAAGATTTTTAAATAAATTTAAAGATGCTTCGAAAAAAACCAGAATATGTTCAAAACATACAATATTGTGTTAAAAAAATCCAGCTTATTGACTGAATTCAAGAAAAATAATTTGTGCCAACTTCAAAAACCAGTAGTAAAAAAAGAAAATAGTTTTTTCGTAAAGTTAAAAATTTTGTTTGAGAATATCAATAATTGAAAATGAATACAAAAAATAATTCAAATATAGTTAACTCAAGAACTTTAAACTAGAACCGAGTTGGACTCCAATGATTTCGAAAATTTTGTTAACATTTTTTAAGTTTTAGTTTTTAAATGGTTCTAAGATGATTCAATTAATATTTTATTAAGAAATTTAGAACGAAATTTGAAATTTGTTTGTTTAATTTGTGGTTTCAAATAGACTTTCAAAAAGCAAAATTTTCCATAAATTCCCAGTCAAAATTTCGTAAAATTAAAAGGCGGTAATTTTTTTTCTGTGTACGATCCTAGGGTTTTTTCAGATTCAAGTGCAGGTCGGGTCACAGTTGTTGTAAAAAAGTGCAAGATTTTGTAAAAATACAGTTTTTCTTCTAAATTTGATAGAAATTTTTCGTAAATCAAAAATTTTCACTAATTAAAAAATAGTAAAATAGAATGGACCAAAAAAGCTCCACACTGGTGTTTATTTAACACAAAAACTTACACTGGAGTAAGTGAATTTTTCTTATTTTCAAAAATTCGTCAAAATTTTCTGACATTTTCAAATAATTCAAAGATGGTTCTAAAAAAGTGCGTTTGTTTTCAACACTTACAATATTTTGTTAAAAAAAAAACAGTTTATTGACTGAATTCAGTAAAAATAATTTGTCCAAGCTTAAAAAACCAGTAGTAACACAGACGAAATTTGTTTTTTCGTTTTTTTTTTTTGGAAAATAGTAACAATAATTAAAAATTAACAAAAGTGATTAGACTAGAAAAGCCTGACACTAAACCATAGTTAACTCAAAAACTTAAACTAGAACCAAGTGGACTCTTGTGATTTTCAAAAATCTGTAAAAATTTTGCACAAGTTTTGAAATGATTCGAAGAAGATTCTATTATTAATATTTTGTGGAGAAAGTTAAAAATAAATTCGAGATGTGTTTGATTAATTTGTGGTTTAAGATAAAGTTAATGGTTTTCAAAAAGCAAAATTTTCCAAAAATTTCCGGTCAACATTTTGTAAAATCAAGAATAAGAACGCTACAATTGTATTTTTTTTTTGCGTAAGGTCTAGTAGCGTTATATAGCCATAGTATAGTTTGTCGACTGAATTCCAAAAAAATAATTTGTTTTCAATCATCAAAATCCAGTAATACTAACAACCATTTTTTTTAATTCATAAAAATTGCTAAACTTTCGTATAAATCAAAATTATCCAATAATTAAAAAATAGTAAAAGAGAATGAAACAAATAAGCTCCACACTGCAGTATAGTTACCTCAAAAACTTACTGCAGCAAGTTATTATTTTTTATTTTCGAAAATTCGTCAAAATTTTTCAAGATTTTTAAATAAAATCAAAGATGTTTCGAAAAAACCAGAATATGTTCAAAACATAGAGTATTTTGTTAAAAAAAATACAGCTTATTGACTGAATTCAAGAAAAATAATTTGTGCCATCTTCAAAAACCAGAGCAAAACAAGAAAATAATTTTTTTCGTAAAGTTAAAAAAATTTTTTGAGAATAATATCAATAGTTGAAAATTAATAAAAAAAATAATTAAAACATAGTTAACTCAAGAAATTAAACCAGAACCAAGTTGGACTTCAATGATTTTCGAAGATTTTGTCAACATTTTTTAAGTTTTAATTTTTAAATGATTCTAAGATGATTCAGTTAATATTTTATTAAGAAAGTTAGAACGAAATTTGAGATTTATTTGTTTAATTTGTGGTTTCAAATAGACTTTCAAAAAGCAAAATTTTCCAAAAATTCCCAGTCAAAATTTTGTAAAATTAAAAAGGCGGCATTTTTTTTTCTGTGTACGATCTTAGGGTTTTTTCAGATTCAAGTGCAGGTCAGGTCACAGTTGTTGCAAAAAAGTGCAAGATTTTGTAAAAATACACTTTTACTAATAAATTTGATAGAAATTTTTCGTAAATCAAAAATTTTCACTAATTAAAAAATAGTAAAACAGAATGGACCAAAAGAGCTCCACACTGATGTTTATTTAACACAAAAACTTCCACTGGAGTAAGTGAATTTTTCTTATTTTCAAAAATTCGTCAAAATTTTCTGACATTTTCAAATAATTCAAAGATGGTTTTAAAAAAACGTGTTTGTTTTCAACACGTACAATATTGTGTTAAAAAAAAAAACAGCTTATTAACTGATTTCAGCAAAAATAACTTGTTCAAGGGTCAAAAACCAGTAGTAGCACAAACGAAATTTGTTTTTTCGTTTTTTTTTTTTTGGAAAATAGTAACAATAATTAAAAATTTACAAAAATCAAGAACAAGAACGCTACAATTTTATTATACTTGTTAGGAAATTTTGGGATTTTTGGTTTTTTCGAGATTTGTAAAAACACAATTTTTGGAAAATTCCACAATAACAATTTGCTTTCAAACCTCAAAATCCAGTGGTACCTCATTTTTGCCAAATTTTCGAAAATCACAAGAGTCTATCTGATTTTCGAAAATTTGTCAAAATTCGTAAGTTTTTAAATGATTCGAAGATGATTCTATTAGTATTTTGTGGATAAAGTGTAATTTCGATTCAAATTTTTGTAAAATTGAAAAAACGCGTCAACTTTATTTTTTCCAAGACCCAATTTTTGGATTTAATTTTTTTTTTCAGATTCGGGTTAAACACAACTTTTCTCAAAACGTACAACATTTTGTAAATGTAAAACTACAGCTTAATCGCGAATTAGTGTTTTAAGTTTATAGATTGGATAAGTGTCAAAAATTACATAAGTGTCAAATTGTCAGACGTTTCATCAAAATTCATGGTGCCATGTCACGAGAAAAGTAGCCGCAATGGCATACACCAACGTCGAGTTGCTTCTCGTCGTCAACTTCCTGGTAAATTCCACTTGATTCTCCTTTTTATCAACACCTCTTTTTCAGCACGTCATATCATACGCTATAATAGTACCCATTCTTCCGTACTATTTCAGGACGCGCGATGCAACCTATTCCATGATCGGAATCCTCTGCGCTTGCGTTTTTATCGGCCGCAGCGTAAATAAGGAACTACTCGTAAAGCTTTAAGCCCGAAAATTCACCACACTGACAGTGTTTTTAAGGCGCTTTTACCCAACGGGAAAAAATACACCATAGCGACTTGTCTGTACCTCACTTTCGTCTACTATTTCATTATGGTGTTTTACGACGATTTGGTAACAAGTTTCATCGTCAAGTTCCTGTTTGGTAAGTGGACGCAGCAGCAGAATTTTTGATTCATCGGTAGTTTCGTTGCAGCGCTTACTATAGACATTGTGTACACATCTAAAGAGTTTGTAACAAGAAGTGAGCCAGAAGACCACCATTACCAGATTTGTAACTTGATAGAGTTGACCAAGTATTGCGCTTTAATCGTGGGGGCGGTTTTAGGCTCGTACATCTACTCACACAGTTCGAATTCGTCGTCGAATTTTATCATTTCGAGCTGCCTTGCACTAGTTTGTATTCGTAAGTACTGTAGTGTCAGTTTTCTGTCTGCGATTTTTTGAAATTTTTTAGTGATATTGCAACGCGTTGATAGCGATGATTCCGCTATGGAAAAGCGTCCCTCGGAGCTTTTTTCGCTGTCAGAACTTTGTAAAAGGCGACTTAGACAACTGAAACGAGTCGAAATCGTCGACAAGTGGTACCTTTTTATGTCGAAGTCGATCTACATCTTTCTGTGTAATATTTATTTTGCACGGATTTGTTACATTTTGATCGACCAGTACAATGTTAGTTACATGCAACTGGGGTACACTGCGGCGATCGAGAACATGGTGATATGTGCATGTTCTATAATAGTACCATTCGTAACCGAAAGGTACGACGATAAAAGAGAACTTCTGCTGCATAGTATGTTCGTTAGTGGGATTTTACTAGCAGGGTTCTACTCTGCTCCCAGCTATGGGTGTTCTATAGTCGCTTTCATGTGTCTAACTTTCTTCTGTACCATGATTAATGGTATGTTGCACGACGACGTGCTCAACTTCAGGTATGAAGATGAACTGGAAGAAGTGTCTGAAACTGTGACGGTGTTAATTAACCTCTTCGCGCCGATCTTCGCCGGAATCATCAACGACTTGCTGGGGGAAAATATTCTAGATCTGGTAGCGGCGATCACGCTATGTGGCTACATGTACGTGATCATCAGAAGTCTCTTCGAACTAGAGACCGCAAATGAAACAGAAGAAGAAAATAACTAGAATCACTCTTAAAAGTAACCCGTGATAATAAAAATCTAAAACCTAGATGTGTTTTTTCTTAAAACAGTCAAGCTTTCTGTCGTCGTGTTTGACAGTTTAGACACTGTCACCAGTTTGAACCACACCCGTGGTTTGAACTGATCATGATCCGCAAAATTCGCAGCAAGATGAGCCAAACATTTCCTCACACCTTTTTCTGAACGATGCGACCGACTAACGCCCAGTTGCTCCTACTCGTCAACTTTCTTGTGAGTGCGCAACTTTGACAATTTTTTTAAAAAATCGTTTAGTATTTTTTAGCTGCCGGGATCGTGGTTCCCGTTTTCTCGAAACAAATTCTACGCAATGGAGGAAACTATATTGTCATCGGGTCCGTGCAATCGGTGGTGTTTGTGGCGCAGTTCATCTCCAAGGATGTCATAGTAGGTGTAAGATTTGGCAAAGGTTTGAGTCAAATCGGTTTTGTAGGGGTTGATCGAACGCGAGAAACTATACATTATTAGAATGTTTACTTACTGTTGCTTCATCTGCTTCACGTTGCTTTTATTGGTCGTCTCGTGGTGGGCAGTTAGCTTTATCCGGATTTCGTATGGTAGTGGTGGTAGAGGAAGACGACGACAACGGGCTTAATTTGTTTGTTTTGTAGCGTTTACCACACAAATATTACCCTACTCGAAAGTTCTCGTCGCAAAATGCGAACCCAGAAGTCGCAAGATCAAAATACGGAACCTCTTGGACGTGATGAGAGTTAGCGGACTGTCTGTGGGTTCAATAGCCGGAGGGTTCATTTTCGAAGCGACTAAAGATTTCTCCAGCATTGCTACCACGTCGAGCGTGATCAGTTTGTTGACCATGAGTAAGTTTGGGTCATACTGAGTGATTTCATACTGATTCGGCTTTCAGTCATCGTCTACCAAATCGACTATAACGAAAACGAAATCGAGCGCTCCGAATCCCAAATCTTCTCGTACGGAACCACCTGCAACGCCCAGCTCCTCAATCTCCGCGAAACAAGTATCACAGACGAGTGGTACGACGTGGCAGTCAAGCTCACCTACACCTGTGCCTTCGTCAACTACTTTGCCCGTTTTTCCTTCATTCTTTGCTACAACTATCCCGTGAACAGCATCATCATAGGCTGGACTCGAGCCTACTACAACATAGTCCTGTTCCTTTCCAACTTCCTCGTCCCGTTTATCAAAGACCGAACCCACAATCCGCTGGATTTGCTAGAGAAAACGCTGATAATCTGCGCCTTTTGCCTCGTGGGACATTCGTACGCTCCCACCTACAAGTGTTACATGGTTCTGTACATCCCTCTGCTGTTTACCTACACTTTGTCGAATGCCCTGCTCGAAGACGACGCCTTGGATTTGAAGTACAATTTTCCTGTTTATCTGGCGTGCGAAACCATGGGGAACATCATCAAGATCTTCGCTCCGTTCTGTATCGGGGTGACAAGGCAGTGGTCGGGATCGGGAGTCACCAAGCTGTTGACTGTGATCCCGGCGGTTATTTACACGTGCATGCTTACTTTTAGGTTCTTGAATAAGAAAGAGAGGCGAAAAAAGTACAGCGTGGAGAGTGAACATGAAATTAGAATTGTGCGCTCTGATGAATCTGACAGCAATTTTGAAATTGAGAATTCTAGTTGTTTTGAGGAAGAAGAGCAAGGCCCAAGTACTGAGTCGAATCAGAACAAGCTTCGGAAGGTTACTTTAGTGACGGGTACTTGATACGGATTTGTATTCATACTGTATAGATTAAAAACAGTGCTGATTTACCCTGGTTGTTCAAATTACTTCAAAAACGAGACAAGGGAATCCAAGATTCTTTCAAACTACTTCAAAAATCAGGCACAAGTTGTTCCCGAGGTTTCTTCAAACTACTTTAAACGCAAAGTAAGGGATTTCAAATTTTTTTCGAACTACTTCAAAAACAAAGCAAAAGAGATCCCCAAGATCCTTACTTCAAAATCAGGCAGAAGGGGTCTCCGACATTCTCTTAAACTACTTCAGAAACAAAACAAAATATCCCAGAGATTCTTTCAAACTACTTCAAAAACAAAATAATCTCCAAAATCGTTTCAAAGTACTTCAAAAACCAGACCCACAGGGTACTCAAGATTCTTTGAAACTATTTAAAAAACTAAATACAATTATTTGTCCCCAAGATTCTTTCAAATCACTTGGAAAACAAAAGACAAATGGTCGTCCGTCAGGAATCCGAGATTCTTTCAGATTTTTCAGTTCTATTCAGATGGTCTCAGATCTTTACAGATTCTTCAAAATTTTTCCAAATTCTTTCAGTTTTTTTAGATTCTCTTAGATTTTTCTAAAGGGGACGTCGAGATTCTTTCAAATTATATGTACTTCAAAAACAAGACAACGGGTCCCCAAGATTCTTTCAAACTAATTTAGAAACAAAACACAAGAGGTCCCTGAAATTCTTTCAAACTATAACAAAAACAAAACAAAGGCGTCATTGAGATTCTTTCAAGCTACTTCAAAAACAAAGGGTAAGAGGTCGTCGAGATTCTTTTAAGTTATGTACTCGAAAAACAAGACAAGAAATCCTCAAGATTCTTTCAAACTACTTCAAAAACCTCAGACAGGAAGTGCACGAGATTCTTTCAAACTACTTCAAAAACCAGACACAACGGGTCCCTGGCATTCTTTCAAACTACTTAAAAATATCTTTTTTTTTATTCTTTCGTATTATTCCGAATTGTTTCAGACTCTTTCGAATTTTTTCAGATTCTTTAAAAGACGCCGTCAGGAATCCTCGAGATTCTTTCAAATTTTTCAGTTCTATTCAGATCGCGTCAGATCTTTTCAGATTCCTGCAGATTCTTCAAAATTCTTCCAAATTCTTTCAGTTTTTTTAGATTCTCTTAGATTTTTCTAAAGGGGTCGTCGAGATTCTTTAAAATTATATGTACTTTAAAAACAAGACAACGGGACCCCAAGATTCTTTCAAACTAATTTAGAAACAAAACACAAGAGGTCCCTAAGATTCTTTCAAACTATAATAAAAACAAAACGAAGGCGTGATTGAGATTCTTTCAAACTACTTCAAAAACAAACGGCAAGAGATCGTCGAGATTATTTTAAGTTATGTACTCTAAAAGCAAGACAAGAGACCCTCAAGATTCTTACAAACTACTTCAAAAACCAGGCACAACGGGTCCCTGGCAGTCTTTCAGACTCCTTAAAAAAAATTTGTTTTTTTATTCTTTCGTATTATTTCGAATTATTTCAGATTCTCTCGAATTTTTTGAGATTCTTTCAAAGACACCGTCAGGAATCCTCGAAATTCTTTCAAATTTTTCAGTTTTATTCAGATCGTCTCAGATCTTTTCAGATTCCTGCAGATTCTTCAAAACACTTCCAGATTCTTTCAGTTTTTTTAGATTCTCTTACATTTTTCTAAAGGGGTCGACGAGATTCTTTCAAATTATATGTATTTCAAAAACAAGACAATGGGTCCATAAGATTATTTCAAACTAATTTAGAAACAAAACACAAGAGGTCCCTAAGATTCTTTCAAACTATAATAAAAACAAAACGAAGGCGTGATTGAGATTCTTTCAAACTACTTCAAAAGCAAACGGCAAGAGATCGTCGAGATTCTTTTAAGTTATGTACTCAAAAATCAAGACAAGAGATCCTCAAGATTCTTTCAAACTACTTCAAAAACCAGACACGAAGGGTCCCTGGCATTCTTTTAGACTACTTAAAAAAATCAGTTTTTTTATTCTTTCGTATTATTTCGAATTGTCTCAGATTCTTTCGAATTTTTTCAGATTCTTTCAAAGACACCGTCAGGAATCCTGGAGATTCTTTCAAATTTTTCAGTTCTATTTAGATCGTCTTAGATCTTTTCGGAGATTCTTCAAAATTCTTCCAAATTCTTTCAGTTTTTTTAGATTCTCTTAGATTTTTCTAAAGGGGTCGTCGAGATTCTTTCAAATTATATGTACTTTAAAAACAAAACAACGCGTTCCCAAGATTCTTTCAAACTAATTTAGAAACAAAACACAAGAGGTTCCTGAGATTCTTTCAAACTATAACAAAAACCAAACAAAGGGGTGATTGAGATTCTTTCAAGCCACTTCAAAAACAAACGGCAAGAGATCGTCGAGATTCTTATAAGTTATGTACTCGAAAAACAAGACAAGAGATCCTCAAGATTCTTTCAAACTACTTCAAAAACCAGACACAGGAAGTGCACGAGATTCTTTCAAACCACTCCAAAAACCAGGCACAACGGGTCCTTGGCATTCTTTCAGACTACTTAAAACAGTCTGTATTTTATTCTTTCGTATTATTTTGAATTGTTTCAGATTCTTTCGAATTTTTTCAGATTCTTTCAAAGATGCTGTCAGGAATCCTCGAGATTCTCTCAAATTTTTCAGTTCTATTCAGATCGTCTCAGATCTGTTCAGATTCATGCAGATTCTTCAAAATTCTTCCAAATTCTTTCAGTTTTTTTAGATTATCTTAGATTTTTCTAAAGGGGTTGGCGAGATTCTTTCAAATTATATGTACTTCAAAAACAAGACAACGGGTCCCCAAGATTCTTTCAAAACTAATTTAGAAATAAAACACGAGACGTCACTGAGATTCTTTCAAACTATAACAAAAACAAAGCAAAGGCGTGATTGAGATTCTTTCAAGCTACTTCAAAAACAAACGGCAAGAGATCGCCGAGATTCTTTTAAGTTATGTACTCGAAACACAGGACAAGAGATCCTCAAGATTCCTTCCAATCACTTCAAAAACCAGACACAGGGAGTGCACGAGATTCTTTCAAACTACTTCAAAAACAAACGGCAAGAGATCGTCGAGATTCTTTTAAGTTATGTACTCGAAAAACAAGACAAGAGATCCTCAAGATTCTTTCAAACTACTTTAAAAACAAGGCACAACGGGTACTTGGCATTCTTTCAGACTACTTAAAAAAATCTGATTTTTATTCTTTCGTATTATTCCGAATTGTTTCAGAGTCTTTCGAATTTTTTCAGATTTTTCAAAAGACGCCGTCAGGAATCCTCGAGATTCTTTCAAATTGTTCAGTTCTATTCAGATCGTCTCAGATCTTTTCAGATTCCTGCAGATTCTTCAAAATTCTTCCAAATTCTTTCAGTTTATTTAGATTCTTTTAGACTTTTCTAAAGGGGTCGTCGAGATTCTTTCAAATTATATGCACGTCAAAAACAAGACAACGGGTCCCCAAGACTCTTTCAAACTAATTTAGAAACAAAACACAAGAGGTCCTTGAAATTCTTTCAAACTATAACAAAAATAAAACAAAGGCGTGATTGAGATTCTTTCAAACTACTTCAAAAACAAACGGCAAGAGATCGTCGAGATTCTTTTAAGTTATGTACTCGAAAAACAAGACACGAGATCCTCAAGATTCTTTCAAACTACTTAAAAAATCAGACACAACAGGTCCCTGGCATTCTTTCAGACAACTTAAAAAAGTCTGTTTTTTTATTCTATCGTATTATTTCGAATTGTTTCAGATTCTTTCAAAGACACCGTCAGGAATCCTCGAGATTCTTTAAAATTTTTCAGTTCTATTCAGATCGTCTCAGATCTTTTCAGATTCGTGCAGATTCTTTAAAATTCTTCCAAATTCTTTCAGTTTTTTTAGATTCTTTTAGATTTTTCTAAAGGAGTCGTTGAGATTCTTTCAGATTATATGTACTTCAAAAACAAGATAACGGGTCCCCGAGATTCTTTCAAACAAATTTAGAACCAAAACTCAAGAGGTCCCTGAGATTCTTCCAAACTATAACAAAAACCAAACAACGGCGTGGTTGAGATTCTTTCAAGCTACTTCAAAAACAAATGGCAAGAGATCGTAGAGATTCTTTTAAGTTATGTACTCGAAAAACAAAACAAGAGATCCTCAAGATTCTTTCAAACTACTTCAAAAATCAGACACAGGGAGTGCACGAGATTCTTTCAAACTACTTCAAAAAGCAGGCACAACAGGTCCCTGGCATTCTTTCAGACAACTTAAAAAAGTCTGTTATTTTATTCTATCGTATTATTTCGAATTGTTTCAGATTCTTTCAAAGACACCGTCAGGAATCCTCGAGATTCTTTAAAATTTTTCAGTTCTATTCAGATCGTCTCAGATCTTTTCAGATTCGTGCAGATTCTTTAAAATTCTTCCAAATTCTTTCAGTTTTTTTAGATTCTTTTAGATTTTTCTAAAGGAGTCGTTGAGATTCTTTCAGATTATATGTACTTCAAAAACAAGATAACGGGTCCCCGAGATTCTTTCAAACAAATTTAGAACCAAAACTCAAGAGGTCCCTGAGATTCTTCCAAACTATAACAAAAACCAAACAACGGCGTGATTGAGATTCTTTCAAGCTACTTCAAAAACAAATGGCAAGAGATCGTCGAGATTCTTTTAAGTTATGTACTCGAAAAACAAGACAAGAGATCCTCAAGATTCTTTCAAACTACTTCAAAAACCTGACACAGGGAGTGCACGAGATCCTTTCAAACTACTTCAAAAACCAGGCACAACGGGTCAGACTTTAAAAAAAAATCTGTTTTTTTATTCTTTCGTATTCAGATCGTCTCAGATTTTTTCAGATTCTCTTAGATTTTTCTAAATGGGTCGTCGAAGTTATTTCAAATTATATGTGCTTCAAAAACAAGACAACGGGTCCCCAAGATTCTTTCAAACCAATTTAGAAACAAAACACAAGAGGTCCCTGAGATTCTTTCAAACTATAACAAAAACCAAACAAAGGCGTGATTGAGATTCTTTCAAACTACTTCAAAAACAAACGGCAAGAGATCGTCGAGATTCTTTTAAGTTATGTACTCGAAAAACAAGACAAGAGATCCTCAAGATTCTTTCAAAATTAAATCACTAGGGATATCCGAAATTCTTTCAAATTACTTTAAAAAGATGTGCATGTTGGAGGGCCACAGACAGGGGTATTTTTCCCAAAATTTGGGGGAATTTGAAGAAATTGGGGGAACTTTTGGGCAATGAAAAGTTTGGGGGAAATTTGTATTCAAATAGCGATTCTGGAAAAACGGTTGGAGTTATCGAAGAAATTTCGAAAATTTCATTTTTGAAAAAGTTGTCTAAAAATTCTCAAAAAATTCAGGGATGTACCTCTCGACGTGCTGATTCCTAAAATATAGCGTGTTTATGTTAATCGCGCAACATTTTCAAAATGTTCGGTTTAAAATAAAAATTTTCTAAAATGTAAAAATACCTATATTTAGTTCAATTTCACCGAATTACGAGTTAACAACTGCAATGACACTTAGGACGTAACCTTGTTTATAAATAATATAATAAATATACAACAAAATACCCGTAACTATATATATAAACAGTCCGTTCACACCAATTTGACGTTACTGAGTCGCTCAGTCGATGTACTGCGCAAGCCACCGGAACCCTTCGCCGTACCCTTGTCTTTTCAGGATAGAACACATGAACAACTCTAGAGGGCGCGCTGCTAATTCAGACCGAGGCACTTTTCCCTGCAAACATACACGTAAAACTTTTTCTAACACCGCCACCAGTTCACCTTTCCGGTAGTGTTTCCATACAAATTGTAAAACATTCTCAGTTGATCCTCGGAAGCCGCCTTAGGTAAATCGATTTTATTGCCAAGTATAAGTACAGGGCAAGTTGATAGCGTCTCGTCCGTCAAAAGTGACACCAACTCTATTTTACTCTCCTCGAATCTGTCGTGGTCGTTGACGTCTATCAGGAAAACAATAGCGTCGACAACGGGGAAGTAATCTTTCCAAACGCGCCTCGCTGAAATTATTTTTGTTTATTTGTAGTTATTTCGTGTTGAGTTTTTTATCAATTACCCTGAGTGTGACCACCTAAATCGAACGTCGTGAATCGCATATTTCCAATTGATAATTCCTCTGACGCTGCAAAACTTTCAGGTTATTGCTGTAGGTTCAAATTAACATATATTAAATAATTCTTTTGAAATAAGAATCTTACTAGGATATAGTGTTGGAAGATGCTGTGCCAGCTTATCATCCTTGAGCATGTGCAACAAAGTCGTTTTTCCCGCATTGTCGAGCCCTAGGAAAAGCAGCTTGCCCGACTTCTTCCACAAGCCTAAACACAACGTATTAGTCACAGTTATAAACTCACCGTCTGAAAATCAAATACAAAATTTTCTGACCGCGGTGCGCAACTGATCCGTATCACACCTTGTGATAACCCAAATCAATGCAAATATTTGAAAATCAAAAGTAACTGGATGCAAATACACAAGTTATTACAGGCGTGTGGCAGTCAACAGGGGGCGTTGCAGCAGGAGCGGATGGGGCTCCCGGTCGTGGCTGTTCTCCTACCTACGACGGTAATTCTATCTATCGCAAGCACTGCCACCCAGCACGAAGAACATGCCTAGACGATTCTATTCGAACCTGCATTTTTTGTGAAGGTTTTTTGTGCTCGACTAGGAACCGCGCACTCCGCTTCCACCACGTGTTTCTGTGTTATTTAACCTCAATTCCATTTAAATTTTTTTCAAATCTTGTGACTCTGAAATTAAACTAGAACTGAACAAGCGTCAAAATTTCGATAGGAGCAAAGATAAAAAATCCCGAAAAAAGAGAAATTAAACTGAAACTCGAAAAATTCAGAAATCGAAATATATATAAAACAGTCGAAAATTGAAAAATCTAAAGTTTAAAAAACGAAAAACTGAAAATCCAAAAAATTAAAAATCGAAAAGTTGAAAAATAGAAATATTGAAAAATCCCAAAACTGAAACAAATATCCAAAATTGAGAAATTAAAAAATTAGCCAACCGAAAAATCCAAAAATCGAAGAATTGAAGAACTGAAAAATCGAAACTGCGAATTCGAGGAACGGGAAAATAAAAAAAAAATATTAATTGAAAAATCGGAAAACTGAAAATTCAGCAACGTCAAAATTTGAAAAATTGGATAATAGAAATACTGAAGAACTGGAAAATCAAAAAATCCAGAAATCGAAAAATCCAAAATTTAAAACATTGAACAATTGAAATATCGCAAAATTGAAAAATGGAGAAATCCAAACATCAAAGAATCAAAAAAAAAAAATTCGAAAAGCTGGAAAATCGAAAAACCGAGAAATCCAAAAACCGAAACATCGAGAAATAGAAAAAAATTGAGAAACTGATAAACTGAGAAATTGAACAATCAAAACATCCAAACATCTGAATTCGATAAATCGAGAAATAAAAAAAATTGAAAAATTTTAAAAAAGAAAAAGTTGAAAAAAAAATGAGAAATCGAAGTATAAAACTGTCGAAAATTTAAAAAATCTAAAGTTTAACGAAAAATTCAAAATACAAAAAGTAAAAAAGGGGTGGAAACCCAAAAACTGCAAACTGAAAAATTTAAAAATTGGAAAATCGACGAATTGGAATCGATTGGCCTGAAAATTTGAAAAATTGAATAAACGAAAAATTGGAAAATCGAAGAAACAACAAAAATTAAGGAAATGAAAAAACAAAAAATTGTGATATAAAAAACCGATAAAATGAAAAATAAAAAATCAGGAAAACGCAAAATAAAAATCGGGGAGTTGAAAACTTGAGGAAACGAAAAATTGAAAAAGGGAAAAATAAAAAATAAAAAAACGAAAAAGTGTATAATAAAAACTTGAAAAATGTAAGAAGTGAAAATCAAACTTGAAAATTTGAAGAAAAATTGAAAAAAACCTGAAAATTTGAAAAATTGAATAAACAAAAAATTGTAAAATCGAAAGAAACAACAAAAAATAAAGGAAATGAAAAAACGAAAAGTTGTGACATAAAATGGAAAAGGTGAAAATTAAAAAAACGGGAAAATGAAAAATAAAAATCGGAAACAAAAAAATTGGGAAGGCGAAAAATTAAAATTTGAGAAACTGAAAAATCGAAAAATGAAAAACTGTAATGTTGAAAAATTGCCAAATTGAAAAACTGATGCAAACCGAAAAATTGAAAATTTTGGAAGTCAAGAAACTGTAAAATTGAAAAATCAAAAATAAAAAAACGAAAAAGTATATAATGAAAACTTGAAACATGTCAAAAGTGAAAATCAAACATGAAAATTTGAAGAAACCAAAATTTGAAAAGTCAAAATATTGAAAATTAAAGAAATTGAAAAAAAGACTGGAAATCCAAAACCGCAAATTGAAAAATTTTAAACGTGGAAATTCATGGAATTGAATAAATAAAAAAATGTACATCGAGGAAACTGAGACCATGTGAGGGATTTTAAGAAAATCTGAGAGAGTCTGGAAGTATCTGAGAGAATTTGAAAGAATCCGAAATAATTTGAAAGAATCCAAAAGAATTCGGAAGTATCCGAAAGAATCCAAAAAAATCCGAGAGAAAAGAAGCTGAAAGAATTTGAAGGGATCTGAATGACCCTAGAAGATTTTGAAAGAATCTGAGAGAATCTGAAAAAATCTGAAGGGATTTGTCAGAATCTGAGGGAATCAGAAATAATTCAAAAGAATTCGAAAGAATCCCAAAGGATCTCAAAGAATCTGAAAGAGTCCTAAAGAATCAGAAAGAATCTAAGGGAATCCGAAAAAATCTTAAAGAATCTGAAAGAATCTTAAAGAATCCGAAAAAATCCGAAAGAATCTGAAAAAGTCCGAAAGAATCCGAAATAATTCGAAAGAATCTGAAAAAATCTGAAAGAATCTAAAAGAATCTGGAAGAATCTGAAAGAATCTAAAAGAATCTAAAAGAATATGAAAGAATCTGAAGGGATCTGAAGGGCCTGGAGGAATCTTATAGAATCTAGCAGACGAATCTGATAAAAACTGAAGGAAAATAAGAGAACCTGAAAGAATCTTAAAAAATATTAAAGAATCTGAAAGCATCTGAACGAATCTGACATATTCTCAAGAAATCCGAAGGAACTTGTGAGAATCTGAAAGAACCCGAAAGAATCCGCAAAAATCTGGAAAAAATCTGAAGGGATCTTAAGGAAGCTAAGATAATGTGAGGGATTCTAAGAGAATCTGGAAATGTCTGAGAGAATCTACAAGAATATGTAAGAATCCGGAAGAATCCGAAAGAATTTCAAAGAATCTGAAGGAATCTGAAAGAATCTGAGAGAATCTGAAAGAAACTGAAAGGATTTGATAGAATCAGAACAAATCTGAAAGAAACTGAAAGAATCTGAAGGGATCTAAAAAAAATCTAAAAGAATCCCAGGAAATCTGAAATATTCCAAAAGAATTCGGAAGTACCCGAAAGAATCCAAAAGAAGCTGAAAGAATTTGAAGGGGACTGAATGACTCTAGAAGATTTTGAAAGAATCTGAGAGAATCTGAAAGAATCTGAAGGGATCTGACAGAATCTGAGGGAATCAGAAATAATTCAAAAGAATTCGAAAGAATCCCAAAGGATCTCAAAGAATCTGAAAGAATGTGAAAGAATCCGAAAGAGTCCTAAAGAATCAGAAAGAATCTAAGGGAATCCGAAAAAATCTTAACGAATCTGAAAGAATCTTAAAGAATCTGGAAGAATCTGAAAGAATCTGAAAGAATCTGAAGGGATCTGAAGGGATCTGGAGGAATTTGATAGAATCTAGCAGACGAATCTGATAAAACTGAAGGAAAATGAAAGAACCTGAAAGAATAATAATTCTATTAACTTCTCTGTTCCTCAGTTCAATGTTAGACAAGCTCCCTTGCTCTACATTAAATTCAATTTTATGAATTATTTGTTGTTTTCACCACTTAATAATATATTATTTACTTGTAGTTCTATTTATAGCAGAATTGATTTTTATTCAGATACATTTCCTAAATTTCAAACTAAGTTAAGGCAAATCTTATTTTAAAAATATTGTAACATTCTCATGTGATTTTATTATTTTTTCTTTGTATTGTTTAAGGATGTTTTTCCGTCAATAAAGTAAGTAAGTAAGTAAGTAAGAATCTTAAAAAGTATTAAAGAATCTGAAAAAACCCGAAAGAATCTGCAAAAATCCGGAAAAAATCTGAAGGGATGTTAAGGAAGCTGAGATAATGCGAAGGATTCTAAGAGAATCTGGAAATGTCTTAGAGAATCTACAAAAATCTGTAAGACTCCGGAAGAATCCGAAAAAATTTCAAAGAATCTGAAGGAATCTGAACGAATCTGAGAGAAGCTGAAAGAATCTGATAGAATCAGAACAAATCTGAAAGAAACTGAAAGAATCTGAAGCGATCTGAAAAAATCTGAAAGAATCCCAGGAAATCTGAAATATTCCAAAAGAATTCGGAAGTATCCGAAAGAATCCAAAAGAATCCGAGAGAATCCGAAAGAAGCTGAAAGAATTTGAAGGGATCTGAATGACTCTAGAAGATTTTGAAAGAATCTGAGAAAATCTGAAAGAATCTGAAGGGATCTGACAGAATCTGAGGGAATCAGAAATAATTCAAAAGAATTCGAAAGAATCCCAAAGGATCTCAAAGAATGTGAAAGAATCCGAAAGAGTCCTAAAGAATCAGAAAGAATCTAAGGGAATCCGAAAAAATCTTAAAGAATCTGAAAGAATCTTAAAGAATCCGAAAAAATCCGAAAGAATCTGAAAAAGTCCGAAAGAATCCGAAATAATTCGAAAGAATCTGAAAAAATCTGAAAGAATCTAAAAGAATCTGGAAGAATCTGAAAGAATCTAAAAGAATCTAAAAGAATCTGAAAGAATCTGAAAGGATCTGAAGGGATCTGGAGGAATTTGATAGAATCTAGCAGACGAATCTGATAAAAACTGAAGGAAAATGAAAGAACCTGAAAGAATCTTAAAAAATATTAAAGAATCTGAAAGCATCTGAACGAATCTTACTTACTTACTTTATTGACGGAAAAACATCCTTAAACAATACAAAGAAAAAATAATAAAATCACATGAGAATGTTACAATATTTTTAAAATAAGATTTGCCTTAACTTAGTTTGAAATTTAGGAAAAGTATCTAAATAAAAATCAATTCTGCTATAAATAGAATTACAAGTAAATAATATATTATTAAGTGGTGAAAACAACAAATAATTCGTATAATTGAATTTAATGTAGAACAAGGGAGCTTGTCTAACATTGAACTGAGGAACATAGAAGTTAATAGAATTAAGAATGTCAGAATCGCACATATTGTTTAAAAGTTTAAACATAAAACAAATTTTGTAAAAATCACGACGTACACTTAATAAAGACAAACCCAAATAAGATTTACTAAGACTAGTAGAATGAGAGACCTTAAGTGGTAATTTGAACAAAATAGATTTGACAAACTTATTTTGAATGCGTTCAATTCTATTCTTAGGATCCCACAGTATGCACCCATATTCCAAAACTGAACGGACCAATGATGAATATAATACTAGAGAAGTACGAATATCATTAAAATCATGACAGTATCTCTTTATACACCCTAATACTTTATTAGTAGAGCTGTGCGGTCGAAATTTAAAAGCTGCGAATTGACCCCCACACCGGCAGGCCAGAGGCTTGCAACCGACGTTATGTATTGCGAAGAAAATTACGCGAAAAATAATGTTAACGGCATGTCAGTTGATGATTTTAAAATCCATATTCACGAAATAAGAGTAATAATAATTTTAATAATGTGCGGGTGTCCGTCTCGTTGACAATAAAACTATTTGTGTGAATTATCAAAAATAATCCACAACTGAAAAGCGAGAAGCCAGCAAGGCAAGGCTGTAGCGATCGGCACTGTGGGCCGATAGTGGGGGTAAATAAATTTCGACCGCACAGCTCTATTTATTAGCTTTTGAAACAATATATTCGCAATGCAAGACAAAGGATAATTTGCTGTCAATCTGACATATTCTCAAGAAATCCGAAGGAACTTGTGAGAATCTGAAAGAACCCGAAAGAATCTGCAAAAATCTGGAAACAATCTGAAGGAATATTAAGGAAGCTGAGATAATGTGAGCGATTCTAAGAGAATCTGGAAATGTCTGAGAGAATCTACAAGAATCTGTAAGAATCCGGAAGAATCCGAAAGAATTTCAAAGAATCCGAGAGAATCCGAAAGAAGCTGAAAGAATTTGAAGGGATCTGAATGACTCTAGAAGATTTTGAAAAAATCTGAGAGAATCTGAAAGAATCTGAAGGGATCTGACAGAATCTGAGGGAATTAGAAATAATTCAAAAGAATCCCAAAGGATCTCAAAGAATCTGAAAAAATGTGAAAGAATCCGAAAGAGTCCTAAAGAATCAGAAAGAATCTAAGAGAATCCGAAAAAATCTTAAAGAATCTGAAAGAGTCTTAAAGAATCTGGAAGAATCTGAAAGAATCTGGAAGAATCTGAAAGAATCTGGAAGAATCTGAAAGAATCGAAAAGAATCTAAAAGAATCCGAATGAATCGGAAAGAATCTGAAGGGATCTGGAGGAATTTGATAGAATCTAGCATACGAATCTGATAAAAACTGAAGGAAAATGAAAGAACCTGAAAGAATCTTAAGAAGTATTAAAGAATCTGACAAAACCCGAAAGAATCTGCAAAAATCTGGACAAAATCTGAAGGGATCTTAAGAAAGCTAAGATAATGTGAGGGATTCTAAGAGAATCTGGAAATGTCTGAGAGAATCTACAAGAATATGTAAGAATCCGGAAGAATCCGAAAGAATTTCAAAGAATCTGGAGGAATCTGAAAGAATCTGGGAGAAACTGAAAGAATCTGAAAGAATCTGAAGGGATCTGAAAAAATCTGAAATATTCCAAAAGAATTCGGAAGTATCCGAAAGAATCCAAAAGAATCCGAGAGAATTCGAAAGAAACTGAAAGAATTTGAAGGGATCTGAATGACTCTAGAAGATTTTGAAAGAATCTGAGGGAATCAGCAATAATTCAAAAGAATTCGAAAGAATCCCAAAGGATCTCAAAGAATCTGAAAGAATGTGAAAGAATCCGAAAGAGTCCTAAAGAATCAGAAAGAATCTAAGGGAATCCGAAAAAATCTTAAAGAACATGAAAGAATCTTAATGTATCCGAAAAAATCCGAAAGAATCCGAAAGAATCTGAAAAAGTCCGGAAGAAAATAATTCGAAAGAATCTGAAAAAATCTGAAAGAATCTAAAAGAATCTGGAAGAATCTGAAAGAATCTAAAAGAATCTGAAAGAACCCGAAAGAATCTGTAAAAATCTGGAAAAAATCTGAAGGGATCTTAAGGAAGCTGAGATAATGTGAGGGATTCTAAGAGAGTCTGGAAATGTCTGAGAGAATCTACAAGAATTTGTAAGAATCCGGAAGAATTTCAAAGAATCTGAAGGAATCTGAAAGAATCTGAGAAACTCTGAAAGAAACTGAATGAATCTGATAGAATCAGAACAAATCTAAATGAAACTGAAAGAATCTGAAGGGATCTGAAAGAATCCCAGGAAATGTGAAATATTCCAAAAGAATCCGAGAGAAACTGAAAGGATCCGAAAGAATCTGGAAGCATCCGAAAGAATCCAAAAAAGTCCCAAAGAATCTGAAAGAATCTTAAGAAATCTGAGATACTGTCAAGAAATATGAAGAAACCTGTGAGAATCTGAAAGAACCTGCAAAAAATTTAAAAACTGAAAAATCGACGCATTGGAATCGATTGGTCTGAAAATTTGAAAAATTGAATAAACGAAAAATTGGAAAATCGAAAGAAACAACAAAAAATAAAGGAAATAAAGAAACCAAAAATTGTGATATAAAATCGAGAAACGCCCAGAAAACATAAAATTAGTCATTCGGCAGAGGATCTCTTTACCGCGTTATCAGCAAAAAATCTCTAAATCGAATCTTACAATTATCTGACAAAACTGAATATGTTATGCCGGACTTCAAGAGCTGTCTAAACAACTTTAGACCAATTTTTATAATTCAACTGCTAACAACTATCTAACTGTGTGTTAAATTGTGTTAGCACCAGTTAACGATAAAAATCCTCACACGAACTGTGAATTTACAAACAATGAATCAAATTTATACGTGTATAACGATTTTTTAAATGATTTTTCGTCAAATTCAAATTATTCAAATGTACTTTCGCGCCGCTGTTAAAAATTTTCAGCGCGAAATTCTAATTCAAATTCGGCCACCACAACCTTACCCAAACACGAATTTCGAAATCAAATAGTCACTCACCTAGAAAGCCCAAGACTCCTGTAAACCACTCCCAAAGGAACATTTTTCTGAAAGAAACAACGGGTGATTGACCTTTATGTTCTTGTGACTTAGTTAAACCCAATGAATGAGTTTAACAAGGAATAGCTAGGGTCGACAAGACTATTGTTTGATGTAAAACAAGCTCCGACTTTTTTCGAAAAGAAAAAAAAATCAAAAAAAGCATCGATAGGGTGTCAAATACGGTTTTGTGAGTACTTACGTTTAATTCAGGTTGTTTTAATACTCGAAGTTGTGGTTTAAGTGCGACTTTTTGGCTTTTTGGGATTGTTCAAAATTTACCACCGAACGGGATTGTTGTTGGCACTTGAAGGTGATGTGACACTAGCGCTACCAACGCGACAACACTCGAGACAAAACTCCCTAAATCTCGGAACTATTTTAAATAATTTATCAACCAGAAGAGTCAAATTGATAGATTTACGCCTCGTCAGTAACCGGTGACGTCTGCAAGTCACGCTAAAATGCAAAATTTATGTCCGCTGTTTGATAAATCTTGCTACTAATTCGAACATGACAGATCGCGTCCTGGCGTTAATGGGGAAACACGGTTAATTTCCACGTTTATTTAACAATCAATGAAAATTGGCCAGGTCAGAGTTTGTGTAATAAATTGGAGACATGGAAAAACCGGTTACTATATGAAAAAAAAAAAGTTCCAGGGATGTATTCAGGAAAATTGTCACTTCGTGATTAATCTGTGACGTTTTACATATTAATACAACAGTTTATACAAAGCAGTTTTATTCAACAAAAAATATTGAATTTTTGAATTGATTTAAATAATTTACACCAAACCATCACTGTAATAAGGTAACTAGCAACCAGTGCTGTCAATTTTCCTAACTTGCGGTGACTGAAATCATTCAACTAAATTGCCTAAAGTCAACGCTCATAAACCAATTCTTAAAAAAAAATGTCAGAGTGGACACGAATTGTATTGAAAAATGGGTTTCAATTTAAAAAACGGTACCGAATGAGTCACGGGTAGACAACTGCAATGACACTTAGGACGTTAATCTTGTTTTGGACATACAAAACTACACGTGATAATTGTAGATGTGATGGACAATACAATAAAAAAAAATATAATAAATAGACAACAAAATACCCGTGACTATTCGCAAGGTTTTTGATAAATCTTAACGTTATACAAATTCACAAGTATATAAACAGTCCGTTCACACCAAGTTGACGTTACTGAGTCGTTCAGTCGATGTACTGTGCAAGCCAACGGAATCCTTCGCCGTACCCTTGTCTTTTCAGAATAGAACACATGAACAACTCCAGAGGGCGCGCTGGTAATTCAGACCGTGGCACTTTTCCCTGCGAACATACGCGTGAAACTTTTTCTAACACCGCCACTGGTTTACCTTTCCGGTAGTCTTTCCATACAAATCGTAGAACATTCTCAGCTGGTCCTCGGAAGCCGCCTCAGGTAGATCGATTTTATTGCCAAGTATAAGTACAGGACAGGTTGATAGCGTCTCGTCTGTCAGAAGTGACACCAACTCCGTTCTACTTTCTTCTAGTCTGTCGTGGTCGTTGGCGTCTATCAGAAAAACAATCGCGTCGACTGCGGGAAAATAATCTTTCCAAACGCGCCGCGCTGAAATTATTTTTGTTTATTTTTTGTTATCTTTTGTCGTATTTTTTTAATTACCCTGAGTGTGACCACCTAAATCGAACGTCGTGAATCGCATGTTTCCAATTGATAATTCCTCTGACGCTGCAAGTTTTGAGTAAAATTAGACTCATTGTTTGGCTTTGTCAAGGTCATTAGTTGCGGAATATAGTAGAGTTAGTGTCGTAATGTCAGAGATAAGGAAAATCACGTTTTAAGTGGCTATTTCATGGCTGATTTGGAAGTTTGGAACATGATTGCACTTTTTTTTGTTTTACAGATGATTTATTTGACCAGAGAACATAGAGAAGCGTCATAGTTTAAATTAAATGACGGTTGAGGACTAATAGAAAAAATATCATAATATTATATATTTTGGAAAAATGGTACAAATTTTAGAAAAACAAAACCGTAAAAAACAACTATTTTTTATCATTTTCGACGGCTCTCCACAAAAAATCTATTTTTTTTTTTAAAAGAATTAAAAAGTAAAATCTGCCATATTTCATTCTGACGATTTTGGAAAAATGGGAGTTTTCGAAGAATTAATGCGAAAAATAACTTCTCGAGGTCGAAATTTCCAAAAAAATCTCGTTAATAATTTTCAAAGGTGTTTGAGAAAATGTCAAAAATTTCATTTTTATTTTTCATTAATCGTGAAGCAAGAATTTCGAAATATATGATTTGAAAATCAATTTTTCCAAAATACGTAAAATCTGTCATCTTTTGAAATGGATAATTAAAACAATTTAAAAAAAAAATTATCTCTATGAGCAATATTCAAAAGTATTCGAAAAAGGGTCAGATTTCATAAAAATTGAGCCTTTTAAAAAATTTTGCTTTTCAAAAATGTAGTCTAAAAATCCACAAAAAAAATACATCCTCGGATTGACACTCAAAATTTTTAATAATCTAAAAACTTGCTATATTTCATATTGATGATTTTTGAAAAACGGTAGAAATTTTCCGATAAATGAAGCCGAAAAAACAGGTCGACTTCTACAAAAAAACCTATTGAGATATTTTTGAAGAAACGTCAAAGATGAAAAAATTAGGTTTTTTGAAAATGTCTAAAAATCGGCAAAAAAATTTTTTATTTGAAAAGCACTTTCGAAATAATCAATATGGACGATTTTGAATAAATTGCAGGAATAGGATTTAGTATAAAGAATATGCAGAGTATAAAGAACATATAACTTACAGAGAACATACAGTATATGCAGAACATACAGAAAATAGAGAACAAAGAGAACATAGAGAATGTAGAGAACATACAGAATAAAGAAAAATTCCGAGGATTCAGAAGATTAAAAAAATTCAGAAAATGCAAGAAATATAAAATAAAAAAAATCCGTGAATATAAGAAATACATAGAGAACACCCAAAATACGGAGAATTATAATACAGAGAATAGAGAAATTACCAAATATACAGAGAATCCAGAAAATAATACAAAAAATATTGCAGAAAATACAGAATATAAAAAACGTACAGAAACTAATCGGAAAACAATAAATTCAGAACTATATAAAAAATACACAGAATTCATGGAATACAAAATATACAGAGAATACAGAAAGTGATCCAGAAAATGCAGAAACTGCTGAAAATAATGAAAATACGAAAAATACAGAAAATATAGAAAATACAGAAATTACAAAAAACACAGAAAATATGAAAAATACAGATTATAGAGGAGAACATGTAGAATGTGCAGAATATACAGAAAATACAGACAACAATACAGAAAATGCAGAATATACAGACTTTGCAAAAAAGAATACAGGAAGATACAAAAAATTCAGAAAATATAGAAAACACAGAATTCAGAAAATACAAAGAATAAGGAAAATATAGAGACTACAGACTATAGAGAATACAGACAGAATACAGAAAATAAAAAATAATACGGAAAATACACAAAATGTAGAAAAAAATAGAATATACAGTAAATATAGAATATAGAGGAAAAACAGAATACATAGAATGTAAAGCATGTACAGACTACGCAAAAGATCATACAGAACATAGAGAATATAGAGAACATAGAAAAAACAGAAAACATAGAAACCATAGAGAACAAACAGAATATACAGACAAATAAAATACACCGAAAATAAAGGAAAAAAATCCTAGTACTTGCTAGGATAAGACTGATTTTGGTAAATGAAGATATCTCATTAGACAAAATCAGTCTTATCTTGGCAGCTACTAGCCCCGCCCACCCACCCTCTCGTTTCTTAGAGGGTAGGTTATTTGCCAAAATCAGCCTTATCCTAGCAAGTATTAGCACTCTAAGAAATGAAGCCGAAAATAACTTGTAGAGGTTGAAAAATTAAAAAAAAAATCTCTGGGGAAGACTCAAATGTGCTAGAAAAAACGTCAATAATTTCGGCAAGATTGAAAAATTGCGATTTTTAATTTTTCAAATTTGACTTTCATAAACTCTCAATTGTTCGATTTTTCAATTAATGGATGTTTTGATTTTCCCGTTTTTTGACTTTCGAGTGTTTCGATTTTCCTGTTCTTCAGTTCTTTAATTTTTATATTTTTCAGGTTTCTTATTTTTCAAATTTTCGATTTGTCAATTTTTCGATTCTTTAAGTTCTCAGTTTTTGGATATTTCATTATTTCTGTTCTTCGACTTTTCCATTTTTGACTTCTGGATTTTTCGATGTGTCGACTTTTTACTTTTTCGATTTTTAAATTTTAGATTTCTCAATTTTTTGGTATTTTAATTTTTCAATATTTAAAATTTAAGATTTTTCGAATTTTCATTTCAGCTCTTCAATATTTCAATTTTTCAAATGTTTCGATTTCTTAATCATTCGATTTTTCGACTTCCCGGTTTTAGATTTTATTTTTCAATTGTCGTTTTTTTATTTTTTTTCGATTTTTAAATTTTAGATTTTTCAGTTTTTTGATATTTTAATCTTTCAATATTTAAAATTTTAGATGTTTCGATTTCTCATTTCAGTTCTTCGATATTTCCGTATTTCATGTTTTCAAAATTTTCAAATGTTTTGATTTCTTAATCTATCGATTTTTTAATTTTTCAAATTTGACTTTCATAAACTCTCAATTTTTTTATTTTTCAATTAATCGATGTTTTGATTTTCCCATTTCTTGACCTTGGAGTGTTTCGATTTTCCTGTTCTTCAATTCTTTAATTTTTTGATTTTTCAATTTATCGATTTTATAAACATTTTATATGTCGATTTTTCAGGTTTTTCGGTTTTTCAATTTTTCTATTTTTTCAGGTGTCGATTTTTCAACTTCACTTTTTTGATTTTTCTATTTCTCAATTTTTCAATTTTTTAATTTCTCAGTTTTTGCACATTTTAGTTTTGGGATTTTTCAGTTTACTTATTGTTCAATTTTTCGATCTTACGATTTTGCAGGTCTTTGATTTTTCAATTTTTCGATTTTTTTGAGGTTTCGATATTTCGACTTCACTTTTTTGCATTTTCGATTTCTCAATTTTTCGATTCTTTAGATTTTCAGTTTTGGGATTTTCCAGTTTTGGGATTTTTCTATATCTCTGTTCTTCGACTTTTCCATTTTTGACTTCTGGATTTTTGATGTGTCGACTTTTGACTTTTTCGATTTTTAAATTTTAGATTTCTCAATTTTTTGGTATTTTAATTTTTCAATATTTAAAATTTTAGATTTTTCGATTTCTCGATTTTTCATTTCAGCTCTTCCATTTTTCAATTTTTCAAATGTTTCGATTTCTTAATCTTTTGATTTTTCGACTTCTCGGTTTTAGCTTTTCTGTTTTTCAATTGTCATTTTGTCAAATGTTCGATTTTTTAATTTTTCAAATTTGACTTTCATAAACTCTCAATTTTTCGATTTTTCAATTAATCGACGTTTTGATTTTCCCATTTCTTGACCTTCGAGTATTTCGAACTCCAAAACACCAAAATTCCAAAATTACGAGATTACGACTTTCAGGGATTCCGAAATTCCAAGATTGCCAGATTCCGAAATTTCAAATTTCCAAGATTTCAAGATTCCAGGATTCCAAAATTTCGAATTTCCAAAATTCCAAAATTCCAAGATTTCAAGATTCCAAGATTTCAAAATTCCGATATTCTGAAAATTCACAAAATACGAAAATCCGAAAATTCGAAAATCAGAAAATCCAAAGATCCAAAAAAATTCAGAAATCCAAATGCCAAAAATTCAAGAATCCAAAAATCCAAAAATATCCAGAAATCCAAAAATTCAAAAATCCAAAAACCCAAGTACGGAAGTGAAAATTCGAAAAATCGTGAAATTGAGAAATTGAAAATAAAAAAAAATGGAAAAATCGAATAACCAGACGTCCAAATTTTAAAAAACACAAAAAGCCAAAAATTGAAAATGCGAAAAATTGAAAATTCGAAAAAATATATTAAAAAGTAGGAAAATCGATGAATTGAAAAATTGAAAAAATCAAAAATCGAAATGACAAAATTGAAATATAAATATATTTTTCAAATCTGCTATCAAAAAATTAGAAAATCCAGCAAACCAGAAATTACAAAGTCGAAAAATCAAAAAACGTCGACATCGAAACTTAAAAAAAATGCAAAAGTTCACAGAATCTAAAATCCAAAAATTAAAAAAAAAAAACAAAATATCCAGAAACCCAAAAATCCAAAAATTCAGAAATACAGCAATCTATAATTTCAAAATTTCACAAGATTTTAAAATTCCAAAATTCCAAGATTTGAAAATTCTATTATTCCAAAATTACGAGATTGCGAAATTTCGAAATTCCTAAATTCCAAAATTCCCAGATTGTCCAAAAGTCTAAAAATTCACAAAATATGAAAATCCGAAAACCCAAGTCCAGAAGTTAAAAAATTGAAAACCCGAAAAATGGGAAAATCGAAAAACGAGACGTCGAAATCTTGAAAAATACAAGAATACAAAAATTGAAAGATAGAAAATTTGAGTCGAAACATCGAAAATTCGAAAAAATAAGATCGATGAGTTGCAAAATAGAAAAATCAAAAATCGAGATGACATAAAATGAAATATCGAATAATCTAAATTGAAAAGTCGAAAACTCAAAAAGTTGAAAAATCGGAGAGGTAAAAAATCGAAATTTCGAAAAGTTGAAGAGTCAAAATATATGGAAAAACGTGAAATCGAGAAATCAAAACTTCAAATCGAAACTTCGAAAGAGCGAGAAATTGATAAACCGAAAAAATCACGGAACTGAAAAATTCGAAAAATCGAAATACTGAAAAATTAGAAGATCCAAACTCGAAAAGTCGAAAAATTGAAAAATCGGGAAATTGAATGATCTAAAAATTGAAAAATCATTTTTCAAATTCGATTTTTCGATTTTTCTTATCGCGACATTGGAATATCCAAATATTGAAAAATCCAAAAATGGAAAACGCAAAATTTTGAGAAAATGAAAAATCAAAAAGCGGAAAAATACAAAAATTTAAAGAAAAACCGAGAAACTGCAAAATCGAAAAATTGAAAATTTGAAAAATCAAGAAACTGTAGTATAGAAAATTGAAATATTTCAAAAATCGAGAAAGCGAAAAATTCGGAAGAAGAATCAAAAACGCGAACGATCGAGAAACTCAAAAATCGAAAATCGTAAAGTCGAGAAATCGAATCGAACCGAATATCGAAAAACAGAAAAATGGAAAAGCGACAAATATATTAATTGAAATTGCAAAATATAAAAAATCAAAAAATCGAAAAATCTAAAGATTGGATTTTCCTGTTCTTCAGTTCTTTAATTTTTTGATTTTTCAGGTTTTTGACTTTTCAATTTTTCGATTTTTTAAGGTTTCTATTTTCGACTTCACTTTTGATTTTTAGATTTTTCAGTTTTATGATTTTTCCGCTTTTTCAACTTTTAACTTTTTGTTTGCCGATTTCTCTATTTTTCGATTTTTCGACTTCATCATTTTTCGATTTCTCGTTCTTTTGATCTTTCAAATCTCTCAATTTTTCAATTTTTCGAATTTTTAAGTTTTTTGATTTCAAAATTTATCGAGATTTGGATTTTTCGATATTTTGATTGTCAATTTCTCAATTTATAAATTGTTCAATTTCCAACTTTTCGATTTTGGCCTATTTCGGTTTCTCAATTGTTCGACTTCTCGACTCCACGATTTCTTGATCTTTTGATTTTTCGATTTCGATAAAACCGATAAATCGAAAAATCGAAACACCGAAAAATTCAAAAACTGAGACAATCAAAACATCGAAACGTACGAATCTCGATAAATCGAGAAATAAAAAAAATTGGAAAATTTTAAAAAAGAAAAATTAAAACATCGAAAAGTTGAAAAAAAATTGAGAAATCGAAGTATAAAACTGTCGAAAATTTGAAAAATCTAAAGTTTAACGAAAAATTGAAAATCTAAAAAGTAAAAACGGGGTGGAAACCCAAAAACTGCTAACTGAAAAATTTTAAAATTGGAAAATCGAAAGAAACAACAAAAATTAAGGAAATGAAAAACCAAAAATTGTGATATAAAATCGAGAAAATGAAAAATAAAAAATCAGGAAAACGCAAAATAAAAATCGGGGAGTTGAAAAATTCAGGGGATGGAAAATTGAAAAAGGAAAAAACTAAAAATCGAGAATGTGAAAAATGGAAAAATAAGAAAGTGTAATATTGAAAAATTGAAAAAACAAAAATAAAAAACGAAAAATTACAAAATGAAAGAGATTTTCCAGTTTTTCGATTTCTCGATTTTTCGTTATTCGGTTTTTAAATTTTAAATTTTTGAATTTTACATTTTTTCGATTTTCAATTTTTCGATATTTCGATTATTAGATTTCTCGATTTTTCGAATTTTCGATTATTTTTAATTTTCATTTTTTTCTCACTGTTAAATATCATACAGTGTATGAAAAAATTGTCACTAAAAACATTTAAAAATTCATACAAAACAGAATACAGTGTTTCCAAAACGTTTTCCCGAAAAAAATCCATTGGATTATTACGAATTCAACAATATTCTTAGTTTAAGACCTTTTGCTAGTATAAAACACAAACAAAGAATTAATTCTTAGTTAAACAAAATATGTAAAATCATCTATCACTTAGAGACTACATTGGCCTGAATGCGCTCTGGTCTGTAGATCAAACAAGTTCGCAGACGACGAGTTGTAGTGAAACATGATTTCACTCTGATTAAACACCACGTCACACTACGTTTTTAAGTTTTCCGCTTTAACCTACACTGTGTTGAAGTACGAACCCGCATCCACAAATTACTCGCTGTTTGTGCATGCTCAGTACCTCAGTACAAAGTTAAAATTAGATTACAATGAACGTTTATGATTTCCACTTGAAGACATTTAACCCTGAACTGAAAAAATAAATATTCACGAATGTAATAAAAATTTAAATTAATGTAACGTCTTGGACAATCAGAAATAGAATTTATTTTTATGGGTTAAGCCCGTTTGCATGTCACTGTCAAATCAATGCTGCCAACTGCAAGCTTTATGACGCAGCCAATCGCAAACGATCGCATGGTACCATGTAATAAATTAATTTTACAACTTATCAATGACAATTTTTAAACAATTTGCATCAACAAAAAATCATCAACTCTGAACTTTTCATCTGCCATAAACAACCCACTTCAACATGCACACTGAAAGAAGAATCTTACTAGGATGTAGTGTTGGAAGATGCTGTGCTAGCCTGTCATCCTTGAGCATGTGCAACAAAGTCGTTTTTCCCGCATTGTCGAGCCCTAGGAAGAGCAGCTTGCCCGACTTCTTCCACAAGCCTAAATACAAGACAACGTATTAGTCACAGTTATACACTCACCGCGCTCGTACGGAATCGGGGCAATCAAGCCTTGCTCCGATAGCAGTCTGATCAGGCTGGCTTTGCCACAGCCCGACAAACCGCACACTAAATAACGGCCCTTGCGTGTCACACCTTATCCAAACACGAATTTCGAAACCAATTAGTCTTAACAACAAAAACACTCACCTAAATAGCCCAAGACTCCCGTAAACCATTCCCAAATGAACATTTTTCTGAAACACAATGGGGATTAACCTTGATGTTCTTGTGACTCAGCTGGTTTGAAATAGTGCGAAATGAGCCAGTTTAACAAGGAACAGCTTGGGATTAATTATAACGTGGACAAGACTATTGTTTGACGTAGAGAGCGACAAGGCCCGAGGTTTTTTGAAAAAAAAAAAATCAACCGAGGCGACGAAACGTTCAGGCAATTTTGTGCGTACTTACGTTTAATTCGGGGTATTTTAACACTAAAAATGTTGGTTTAAGAGTGGCTTTTTAATTTTTTGGGCCTGGTTCAAAGTTTACCAGCAAACGGGATTGCTGTTGGCACTTGAAGGGTGATGTGACACTAGCGCTACCACCGTGACGACAAAAAATCCCCAAAACTCGACGCTACTTTAAATAATTTATCAGTACGAAAAGTCGGATTTATCAGTTTACGCTTCGTCAGCAAACGGCGGCGGCTGAAAACCACGTAAAATGCAAAAGTCGTGTTTGTTTAATGATAAATCGTGCGACGAGTAGAACGTGACAGATCGCGTCCTGGCGTTAACGCGAAACCATGATTCATTCCAACATTTATTTATCAATCAATGAAAATTGGCCAAATCAGACTAACTAATAACTAGTACAACAAATAAAACCAGTCGAAAACCGGTTATCAAATTCCACATTAACTTTTGTGTTGATTGCATAAATGTCAACTCTAGTAAAAATCGATATTTTCTCTTGAAACAGTCGCTTGTCACAGTACAAAGGATGTTCGCGCCCCCTTAGTTCCTCAAATGAAGAGAAATCGAAGCATTCGAACTCTGCCCCTAGACAACCTCAGTATTCTGAAGCACCCACTACCTGACCATAAATACAGTGAGAAGCTCTATTTCGGTGAAGAAATCCCCAAAGCGGTCTTCAACGAAGCGCAATTTTTGTCAAGCGGCGACTCAGACATCTTAGTGAGCGTTCGCGATGTCGGTAGTAAAAGTTCATCGAGTTCCCTCAGCTGGGGCGAGGAGTATAAAAGCGAAGCCTCAAAGAAACTGCGCGAAGAATTGGAACGCATGGATGGGGTTTTAAGGGGCGCGGAGCCCATCCCAGACCACTATGACAAAGAAGAATACGAAGAGTGGATGCACTTTTTCCCAAATTTGTGGTAACTGATGGTTGTTGCAGTTTCAGATTTTACACTTTTAATTTAGCGTTTTAGGGGTTGCAATTTCCGGTAGGAGACCAAATTGCGAGGAAGAAATTTTAGCTGAAGTTACCTGTGATAAGATGGAACCTAGTCAGAATAAAGCGGCTGTGATTGACCAAATTTATGCAAAAATTGCACCAAAAATCACCCTCAACGACGATATAGACGTTGGTAGTTTTTTGAAAGTGTCACCAGTGGGGACTAGTCGGCTCCCCAGGCGTCAGTCGTCATCCAGGTCTTTAATATCGTCACACATGTCGGCATCAAAGTGGCTCAAAGATGAAGAATATGACTCTCTGCCGTTTCTAGTGGGGGTGAGGAAACCTGGCGCGCCTAAAGGCATCCTCAAGAACAGTCTAGTGCTGCCCCCTATCGAGAATAGCCAGTTTCGTTCGATTTCCGCCACCCCCAGACGCGAAACCAAGAGTTTGTCAGCTCTATCAATGAAGGACCAAAAATATTCTGGTTTCAAGAGGAAAAATCTGTAAATGATATTTGTATTAATTTATTGAATAGAGTGTCTTTATTTTCGAATGCTGCACATTATTAACTTAATTTTAACAATAGTTACAAAAACAAGACGAAAAAATTCGGAATTCCAATAAAAGTGAGACTCTTTGATGTTGCTGGGGGTTGGGAGACTTTAAAACACGCCGTAAATTTGATATTTATTCAAATAGAGCTTCTGTATTTTCGAATATCGCACATTTTATGTACAATTGCTTAACAATCAGTAACATCAACAACAGTAGTAATTAAATTGCGTGGATCTTCTATACGGGGTGGCCACACGAAATGGACAAGTTGATTGCGTGGTGGTGCCATCTTGTGTTGAAGTCCACAGCAACATTCAGTGTATCACTGTTACGTAGAAAATCCATAATAAAATACTAAAAAAAGCCCTAAACCTATGAGAGCAGTTACTCCTACAACCAACTGCTCTTATGGTTGAAATTCGAAGCGTGAACAACATTTATGTGTATGTGTGTGTACTGAAGATGGCGCTGTTCGTAGACGCGCTTAGTTGGTGGTAGGGGTAAAAAACGACGGTAATTTCGAAAATAGGTGATGGTGGATGATGTAAATGTTACAGTACGTTTATTTTTATATATAAATAACAAGACACACATGTGAGATTGTTAGCATCGATTCGCCATGTTGTCAGAGATGGGTTTTTTACCACGACTACGACACACCGACCATGAAACTACGGGTAAAGCACGATCCGAGGGAGGGGACTTGGTGTATTTTGTCATTTGTAAAATATTGCTAAATAAGGGAAAACGTCCCTAACCCTAAAAAACTTAACAATTACACAAACATAGCGTGTACAAATCAGAAAACCCCATAACTATCAACTAATTATTTACAATATCACAATTGAAATATCTTGAAATGTACATATCTTACAATTCCTGTACGTCAATAAACTATGTTAAGGTTAAGTAAATAACGGTTGTAAAAAAATCTATTATAACGCAACAATTAGGTCATTTAAATACCCACCTCTGTACTCTCTAACAACTATATACATCATTTATACACCCTATAAAAAGCTCTTGATTTCACTCAGTCTATTCACATGGCACAACAGCGGATTTAAAAAATTCAGCGTCTCTAATTTATTTTACAATTTATAAACAAGTGTCCAGTATTAAGTCCATAATTAAGCACTCATTAAGAAGAGTTCGATTATGAAGAAATTGTTCGTAAAGTTGTAGCGACCTTACCGTGTTAGTAGAATGACACCCACAGTTAAAATAAAACTCAATTTACCACTAAACGAAAAATAAACCCTTTAATCCCGATGAACCAATTCGAACACAACAAAACATGCATTCGTCGGAACCAACCACATATATATTGGTATAGATTATTATAGGTAAAGAAAACAGAAAACACCCAATGGAAAAGGGGCTTTGGAATGGTGGGTACAATCTTGGACCGCTCTTGTCTTTAGATGTACGAGTAGGGTCCGTCCGTAAGGGCGCTACAAAGTAGTAGTCAGGAGTTGTCGTCCTTGTTCGTGCCTCCACCGCCCGTCCCGCTACCTTGGCCCGTCCCTGTACGGCCCCGGACCTGCTTGTACTCCAAACCAGGGTCGAACTGCATCAAGACGAAGACCTACAAAATATTGTCACAATAAAAACAAAGAATATAGAGAAGCGTCATAGTTTAAATTAAATGTTATGTTGGCAACAGTGTTTGCTTCTAACCGGGAATAAAATTAACTACAATAGAAAAAAGGTCATAATATTTTTTATTTGGAAATTTTAGTTTGGGGACTTTTCAGTTTACTCCTATTTATTATTCAATTTTTGGATTTTACAATTTTTCAATTTCTCGGTTTTTAGTTTTTCTCTTCAATTTTACGATTTTTAAATATTTCGATTTGTCAACTTCACTTTTTTAAATTTTCGATTTCTCATTTTTTCAATTTTTTAATTTCTCAGTTTTTGGACATTTCAGTTTTGGTATTTTTCGATTCTTTAGATTATCAATTTTTGGATGTTTCAGTTTTGAGGTTTTGCAGTTTTTCAATTCGTCAGTTTTTCCTTCATTTTTCAGTTTTTCGATATTTCAGTTTTGGGATTTTTCAATATTTCTGTTCTTCGACTTTTCCATTTTTGACTTCTGGATTTTTCGATGTGTCGACTTTTTACTTTTTCAGTTTTTAAATTTTAGATTTCTCAATTTTTTGGTATTTTAATTTCTCAATATTTAAAGTTTTAGGTTTTTCGATTTCTCGACTTTTCATTTCAGCTCTTCCATATTTCAATTTTTCAAATGTTAAGATTTTTCGACTTCCCGGTTTCAGATTTTCTGTTTTTCAATTGTCGTTTTTTCAATTTTTTGATTTTCCGATGACTCCATTTTTCGATTCCTCGATTTTTCAATTTTTCAATTCCCTCCCTTTTTCAATTCTTCAATTTTTGTATTTTTGAATTTTTGGCACTTTTATATTTCGATTTCTCGATCAATCGATTTTTCAATTTCTCGGTTTTTCGATTTCTCGATTTCTGTTTTTCAGGTTTTGCAATTTTTCGATTTTCAGGTTTCTATTTTTTCATTTTTCAAATTTTCGGTTTTCGATTTCTAGGTTTTGTAATTTTTCGATATTTCAGTTTTCCGATTTTTCGACTCTTCAATTTTTCAACTTTTCGATTTTTTACTTTTTCAATTTTTTAAATTTTAGATTTTTAGATTCCTCAGATTTTTCAGTTTTTCAATTTTTCAATTTTTCGGGTTCTTAAAGTTTTAATTTTTAGATTTCTCAATTAATTGATTTTTCGATTTTTTGACTTCTTGATTTCTCGATTTTTCAGTTTTTCAATTCTTCAATTTTCCGATTTTTCTGTTTTTTAAATTTTCGATTTTTCAATATGCTAATTTTTCAATTTTTCTGATTTTGGCGTTTCTAAAGCTTTAATTTTAAAATTTCTCGATTAATTGGTTTTTATATTTTTCTACTTTTTGATTTCTCGATTTTTCAGTTTTTCAATTTTTAAACTTTGTAAATTTTCGATTTGACAATCTTTCAACTTCCATTTCCCTCTTTTTCAATTCTTTGATTTTTCTATTTTTCAATTTCTCTGTTTTTCGACTTTTAGATATTTCGATTTCTCGATTTCTGTTTATAGTTTTTGCAATTTTTCGATTTTAAGTTGTCTATTTTTTCAATTTTTCAATATTTCGATTCTTCAATTTTTTCCTTTTTCAATTTTCTAAATTTTAGATTTTTCTCTTTTTTGATGTTTCGGTTTATCGATGTTCTAAATTTTCAATTTTTCAAAATTTTGATTTTTCGGGTTTTTAAATTTTGAGATTTTTACATTTCTCAGTTTTTCAATTCGCCAATTTTGGATTTTTCGATTTCTCAAGTTTCGCGATTTTTCAGTTTTTCGATTCATGAGTTTTTCTTTCATTTTTCAGTTTTTCGATATTTCAGTTTTGGGATTTTTCAATATTTCTGTTCTTCGACTTTTCCATTTTTGACTTCTGGATTTTTCGATGTTTCGACTTTTTACTTTTTCGATTTTTAAATTTTAGATTTCTCAATTTTTTGGTATTTTAATTTTTCAATATTTAATATTTTATATTTTTCGATTTCTCGATTTTTCATTTCAGCTCTTCCATATTTCAATTTTTCAAATGTTTCGATTTCTTAATCTTTCGATTTTTCGACTTCCCGGTTTTAGATTTTCTGTTTTTCAATTGTCGTTTTTTCAAATTTTCGATTTTTCAATTAATCGATGTTTTGATTTTCCCATTTCTTGACTTTCGAGGGTTTCGATATCCCTGTTCTTCAATTCTTTAATTTTTCGATTTTTCATTTTTACTTCCCGAGCGTAAGCAAAGGAAGTATTGTAATCGAGTCCGTCGGCCGACTCTCTACTTTTACGTTTTCTCGATCTTTCATGACCCCTAGAAGACGAAGAAATAGGTCTCCCATTTCCGTCTGTCTGTCCGTCTGTCCGTCTGTCCGTCTGTCCGTCCGTCTGTCCGTCTGTCCGTCTGTCCGTCCGTCTGTCCGTCTGTCCGTCTGTCCGTCCGTCTGTCCGTCTGTCCGTCCGTCTGTCCGTCTGTTGTCCCGGATTTTTATTAGACAGATAATCTCCGAAAGTACTCGACCGATTGTTGTGAAATTTTGTACTTATATTAAGAATATCATGTAGATGGTAAAACGCTAACCAAAATTTGTCTAATCATCCCCACCACTAATGCGATGACGTCACTTCAAAATTGTACATAGTAAATGGGTTTTCAATTGTATAAAATAACATAGTCCTACACATGTAGTTTACAACTCCGAATCGACTTTTCACCCGAAACGTCCAGATTTTTGGAAAAAAAATCAAAATTATAAAACAACATTTTGAAATTTAATTTTTAATCTGCTAACCAGAATGCTTTGAAATGTTGCAGATGTTTTAAGGCTATAAAGAGCATCATAAATCTTTAGTCAAAAAATATTTGCTTACCCCCTCCAAAAACTTGATGACGTCAGCTCAAAAGTTTGTGGAATAAATCATATCTAAAATGTACAAAATATGATGAGTCTGTACTTGTGATCTATCACTCCATTCATATTTTTTGGATTTGCATATACAGGGTGACTCAAAAAAATTAATGAATGCGTAAATATATTTTATTGATTTAATCAGGAACTACAAAACCGAATGCTCTGAAATCTTGCAGATGTTTTAAGGTCATAAAGAGCATAATAAATGTTTAGTCAAAATATATTTGCTTATCCCCTCCAAAAACTTGATGACGTCAGCTCGAAAGTTTGCCGAATAAATCTTATCTAAACTGTACAAAATATGATGAGTCTGTACTTGTAATTTATCACTCCATTCATATTTTTTGGATTTGCATATACAGGGTGACTCAAAAAAATTAATGAATGCGTAAATTTATTTTTTCGATTTAATCATGAACTGCAAAACCGAATGCTTTGAAATCTTGCAGATGTTTTAAGGTTATAAAGAGCATAATAAATGTTTAGTCAAAATACATTTGCTTATCCCCTCCAAAAAATTGATGACGTCAGCTCGAAAGTTTGCCGAATAAATCATATCTAAAATGTACAAAATATGATGAGTCTGTACTTGTGATCTATCACTCCATTCATATTTTTTGGATTTGCATATACAGGGTGACTCAAAAAAATTAATGAATGCGTAAATTTATTTTACTGATTTACTCAGAAACAACAAAACCGAATTCTTTGAAATCCACTGCGAAAAAAAAAAACATAATAGGCATGCAGTCGTCACGTTTCCGACAGCGAGGGAAGTACTGTCGAAACTCTTTAGACCAATTTTTTAGTTTTTTTAAGGTTTCGGTTTTTCGACTTCACTTTTGGATTTTTCGATTGCTCAATTTTTCGACTTTTTAGGTTCTCAGTTTTTGGATATTTCAGTTTTCGGATTTTTCAGGTTTTCCATTTTTCAGTTTTTCTTTCATTTTTCAGTTTTTGGATATCTCAGTTTTGGAATTTTTCAGTATTTCGATCCTTCGACTTTTCGATTTTTGACTCCTGGATTTTTCGATGTGTTGATTATTACTTTTTCGATTTGTATATTTTAGATTTTTTAATTTTTTAAATTTTAGATTTTTCGATTTCTCGATTTTTCAGTTCAGTTCTTTCGATATTTGAATTTTTCAAGTTTTCGAATTTTTCAAATGTTTCGATTTCTTAATCTTTTGATTTTTCGACTTCCCGGTTTTAGATTTTCTGTTTTTCAATTGTCATTTTGTCAAATTTTCGGTTTTTTAATTTTTCAAATTTGACTTTCATAAACTCTCAATTTTTCGAATTTCCAATTAATCGATGTTTCGATTTCCCCATTTCTTGACCTTCGAGTGTTTCGAACTCCAAAACACCAAAATTCCAAGATTGCCAGATTGCAAGATTCCAAAATCTCAAATTTCAAAGACTCCAAGATCCAAAAACCCAAAAGTCAGAAATCCTAATACCAAAAATTCAAGAATCCAAAAATCCAAAAATATCCAGAAATCCAAAAATTCAAAAATCCAAAAACCCAAGTACGGAAGTTAAAAAATTGAAAATTGGAAAAATCGTGAAACTGAGAAATTGAAAATTAAAAAAATGGAAAAACCGAATAAACAGACGTCCAAATTTTAAAAAACACAAAAAGCCAAAAATCGAAAATTCGAAAAAATGTATTAAAAAGTAGGAAAATCGATGAATTGAAAAACTGAAAAAATCAAAAACCGAAATGACAAAATTGAAATATAAATATAATATTTTTCAAATCTGCTACCAAAAAATTAGAAAATCCAGCAAACCAGAAGTTACAAAGTCGAAAAATCAAAAAACGTCGACATCGAAACTTCAAAAAAATTCAAAAGTTCACAGAATGTAAAATCCGAAATTAAAAAAAAACAAAATATCCAGAAACCCAAAAATCCAAGAACCCAGAAACCCAAAAATTTAGAATACAGCAATCTATAATTTCAAAATTTCACAAGATTTTAAAATTCCAAAACTCCAAAATTCCAAGATTTGAAAATTCTACTATTCCAAAATTCCCAGGTTGCCAGGTTCCAGGATTCTAAGATTCCAAAATTTAAAATTTCCATAATTCCAAAAGTCTAAAAATTTACAAAATATGAAAATCCGAAAACCCAAGTCCTGAAGTTAAAAAACTGAAAATTCGAAAATGGGAAAATCGAAAAACGAGACGTCGAAATCTTGAAAAATACAAGAATACAAAAATTGAAAGATAGAAAATTCGAGTCGAAACATCGAAAATTCGAAAAAATAAGATCAAAAAGTCGGAAAATCGAAGAGTTGCAAAATATAAAAATCAAAAATCGAGATGACATAATATGAAATATCGAATAATCTAAATCGAAAAGTCGAAAACTCGAAAAGTTGAAAAATCGGAGAGGTAAAAAATCGAAAGTTCGAAAAGTTGAAGAGTCGAAATGTATGAAAAAACGTGAAATCGAGAAATCAAAACTTCAAATCGAAACTTCGAAAGAGCGAGAAATTGATAAACCGAAAAAATCAAGGAACTGAAAAATTCGAAAAATCGAAAAATACTGAAAAATTAAAAGATCCAAACTCGAAAAGTCGAAAAATTGAAAAATCGGGAAATTGAATGATCTAAAAATTGAACAATCATTTTTCAAATTCGATTTTTCGATTTTTCTTATCGCGACACTGGAATATCCAAATATTGAAAAATCCAAAAATGGAAAACACAAAATTTTGAGAAAATGAAAAATCGAAAAGCGGAAAAATACGAAAATTGAAATAAACACCGAGAAACTGCAAATTCGAAAGGCGAAAAATTGAAAATTTGAAAAATCAAGAAACTGTAGTATAGAAAATTGAAATATTTCAAAAATCGAAAAAGCGAAAAATTTAAAAGAAGAATCGAAAACGCTAAAGATCGAGAAACTCAAAAATCGAAAATCGTAAAGTCGAGAAATCGAATCGAACCGAATATCGAAAAACAGAAAAATGGAAAATCGAAAAATCTTAAGATTGGATTTTCCTCTTCTTCAGTTCTTTAATTTTTTGATTTTTCAGGTTTTTGACTTCAATTTTTCGATTTTTTAAGGTTTCTATTTTTCGACTTCACTTTTTTGATTTTTAGATTTTTCAGTTTTAGGATTTTTCAATATTTCAATTCTTTGGCTTTTCTATTTTTGACTTCTGGATTTTAGATGTTCTGTTTTTCAATTTTTCGATTTGTTAATTTTTCATTCCCGATTGATCCAGATTTGATTGTTCAGGTTTTCGATTTATCAGTTTTTCAATTTTTTATTTTGGACTATTTCGGTTTCTCAGTTTTTCCAGTTTTCCATTTTTTTGTTTATTGATTTTTCTGCTTTTCCAATTTTTCAACTTTTAACTTTTTGGTTGTTGATTTCTCTATTTTTCGATTTTTCGACTTCATCACTTTTCGATTTCTCGTTCCTTTGATCTTCTAATCTCTCAATTTTTCAATTTTTCGAATTTTTAAGTTTTTTGATTTCTCGATTTATCGAAATTTGGATTTTTGGATATTTTGATTGTCAATTTCTCAATTTATAAATTGTTCAATTTTTAATTTTTCGATTTTTCGATTTTGGCCTATTTCGGTTTCTCAATTGTTCGACTTTTCGACTCCACGATTTCTTGATCTTTTGATTTTTCGATTTCTCGGTTTTTCGACTTTCCAGTTTTTCGATGTTTCGATTTTTCAGTTATCCGATTTTTTAAATTCGAGCAAAGGTCAATTTTTCGGTCCTTTGTCTTCAGTTTTGATTTCGGTCTGGTAACAGCAACATCGGAGCTCCGTTTTGGCTTAAAAGTAACGCGTTTTCGCGAATTTCTAATGTATTGTTAATAAATACTAGTGAAAATGTTTTGCGTTAGTGCTGTGAACACGAAGGAAAGCAGATATTTTTCCAAAAATGCCCGAAAACGGACTAAGTACAATTTGAGTTTTAATTTATCTAGCTCCATGATTTGTGTATTCGACAAATATAAAAATAATATAAATTATCATGACATAATAAACAATACTTGAACATTATTAACATTATTTATACCGTTTAAATATACGATAAGCATTATTGTTAAATTGACCCCGAAAATGTTCAATTCCCCAGCCAAAATTTGAAAAATAATTTTTGCAACCTCATCGTGACGTACCATGACGCTACTGTCACGTGAGCTATCTGAGGTCAATTTTTCGGTCCTTTGTCTTCAGTTTTGATTTCGGTCTGGTAGGAGCAACATCGGAGCTCGGTTTTGGCTTAAAAGTAAGGCGTTTTCGCGGTTTTCTAATTTAGCGTTAGTGCTGTGAACATGAAGGAAAGTGGATATTTTTCAAAAAAAGCCGGAAAACGGAGTAAGTACGATTCGAGTTTTAATTTATTGGGGTCAAAATAAAAAAAATATTAATCATCATGACACAGTAAACAATATTTAAACATAATGAACATTATTTATATTGTTTAAATATGATAAGTATTAATTAAACCGAAAACTGAGCATCAACGATCCAGGCCAAAAAAATTCAAATATTTAGAGCCAACAAAGTTGCACAAAATTCATGAAATTCACTGTTATTATGTTAAGTATAAGTATGTCATAATTAAACCAACAACCGTTTTCATACAAACATGAAGTTATTAAAAACAATTCAATCTGTTTAAACATTGTTAAATTAATTAATCACACTCTAGGTTGTAAAATTATGTTTGTTAATTTTAAGGAGTCTCTAGCTGTTGATCAGGCACCAAATAGATCCGCTTTTTCACACCAGTAGGGTTGAGATAGATAAATATACGACATCATGAATACAAGACTTAACCAAATAGAAAACAGAAAGCCACTATTGACGTCGAACACAAACGAAATTACCCGTAATTTCACAGTAATTATCAAATTTAGATTAGACTGACATTTTTTTTAGTTTACCACAAATTCGGCCGTACGCGAATTATTGATTATCATAACTTTAAAACATCTGCAAGATTTCAAAGCATTCGGCTTTGCAAAAAAATCAAAATTAAATTGCAAAATGTTGTTTTTTTTTTCGAAAAATCTAGACGATTCCGTAAAAACCACTATGTACAATTTTGAAGTGACGTCATTATATTATTGGTGTTGTGGTGACCGAATTTGAATCAAAAATTTCACGCTGAAAAAAGTTAACAGCGGCGCGAAATCACATTTGAATAATTCGAATTAAAAAAAAATCAATCCAAAACAATATTTAACCATAGGCAACCAGGTGCACGTTGGCGCTTTTGGGTAGTGTGTGAAAGCATGGTGAAAAGACGCGATGAGTTAGGTTTAGTTTAGTCGGTTTGGCGGTTAATAAAAGGAGGAAGCCTTTGTTTAACGACAATTAATCGTAAAGACAACGGCGCTTCAGTTTTCCCCAACACGCGCAGCTAATTCTTGCGGCTTTCTAATGGAAACGAGTGAATCTGTGACCGACGGTAACACGTGGAAATTTGTTTGATTGTTTGTAAATTCACAGTTCATGTTAGGAGTTTAATCGTTAACGGGTTTTAACACAATTTAACAGGCATTGGATTTATTTAGGGAAACTTTCATGCTCTGCGGTTTCTAACCTCACGCAATATTTTATCTGCACAAGTTTATTTCACACCAGATTTTTTGTTTTTATAAAGCTTTGCTAGTTTTTTTATTTTGTAAATATTTTGTTGATGAATGTTTTCATCATACAAACTAGATAAGAATTTAAATATTGTTTATTGCTCCTTTTGAAACTTTGACTTTGTTCAGTTGTGGTTTAATTTCAGTCATAGGAATCGAACATTTGAATTGAATTGAGGTTAAATAACACAGAAACACGTGGTGGAAGCGGAGTGCGCGGTTCCTAGTCGAGCTGGCGGTCTGCTTCACTTTTTTCGCAGAATCTAATAATGGAAGTAGTATTTGGCACGACGTACCTGGTCTGTGGGTAACAACTGAAAGTCGTCTGGCGGATTCGTGATGACGTATCTTTTACTGCTTGCGTCGCACGACGAACTCGTGTCCCTAAACCTATAAAGTCCTATACACAACATTCCAAACTGTTTAAGCGCAGCCACAAACAAGTCTCCGTATTTTCCTGTTTCTCCGTACTGGGCTAGAGGCCCGTCGTAGAGAGAAATTTGGCCCACTCGACATCGGTCCCTGTTGGATAAGCTGTCTGGTGTGCTGAAACAATAGTTGGTACTTGAGGTACTACTTAGGATTGGGTGAGAGTACCTGTAGCCTCCGCGAAGGCCTGCTCCTTCGGCCAAAATTAACTCTAGTTCTGGCGTAGCGCCTCCGGTGATTAGGGAACGAATTAACGTTAAGGCATTTTGATTGAAATACGTCTGAAAGTGGGGGGTTGAAAGAACGTTAGGTAGGATTCGCAGTGGGTACTTACTGTAGACATTAAAGAATCTAACACACTAACAGCGAAGGCGGTACCACAAGCGAACGGTTGGGTTAGGTACAGTTCGGTATCGGGATCATCATCGTCGTCTTGGTCTAAGAACTGTACGTTGCTGTCGTTTACTAACTCTGTAAAACGTTTCGATTTAGAAGAGGGAAGGTACTTTCACAGGGGTCGGTACCAGTAATCATGGGAACGTTGGCCCCGTAGACCGATCCTCGCCTTTGAAGAATAATAGGGCTTCCGACTGGAGTCCCAGCCTCGTTATCCCCGTTGGTCTGACTAAGAACCCCAATCGTGTCATCGAAAGTCATGGCTTTTATGTTAAGTGACGCCAGAATGGCCTCCTTGTCGGCCAATGTCGGATCGTCATTGCTTGGCACTTTCGCTGAGAGGATGCAGCACATATCACATAGGTTTACGTTCACAGCACGCAAATCGGCCCTACTCAAGGGAGAACCCTACGACAAAACCCTTTGTCTGGACCCTTTTCACCCAAACAACTTACATTTAGCACCGATATTTTGGGAAGATTTTGAAGCATCTTCCACTCTCTCCTAATGTAGTCTACCGAGCCTACGATCACCACGTGCTTGAGCTCGTGGTAATGGAAATTGCTGGCCCTCAGAGGCATCACGAGATTTCGAAGGCCTATGAGCGGGGAATCGGGGTCGGCGAACAGGCACACCACCACGTGACCGTTCAACACCGTCATGGCCGCCTGGTTGCGGTCCTGGAACCACCAAACAATCAAACTCGTCGTCAGTCCTTCGGTTCTGTACCACTCACGAGAATGCACTCTTCGAGGTTCTTCGCCGGCCCCCAGTGGAACATCCCTGTGCTGTCGTACTTCATTTCAGTCTTTTCAAAGTCGAAGTCTTTGGCTTGGTCATCGGCCAGACCTACCGGAAGCGCGACACCGTTGTTGTTTTGGTTGGTGCCGCCGCTGCTCCTGCTGGTCGGCCTGAAACGGTTCTTTCGTCAGGCCGGGAATGAGCGTACCGTGAATGCACAAACTTGCACTACGGTTCTAGCTCATTCACAAAAATCGAGAGAAAACCCTCTAAGTTCAAAAAACATGCAACAGTAATTGACCTAGATAAAGAGTCTAAACTAAGTAAAAAGATGTTGAGCTAAGAAAATTGTTAAGTGAATGAGATTGGCAATGTCGAGGACATGCGCAAGTCGAGTGTTGGCTTTAAAAAATCTTCCCTCGTCGCAAAATTATTGGTTTGACTATCAGCGGACAGCGGAGAAAAGTTGAGTTGTAGGGTGGCTAACATTTCGAGAACTGAAAATAAGAAGCGGAAAAGAATACTAAATCGGGGGGAGTGGGGCGCGCAGGTATGACGTCGTTCGGTGAAGAAGGCGTCATCCAGGCGCCGTGACGGATAATACTGTAAGGGTTGGGAGTTTTACGTGTGGTTTGACTGGAGTGAGTCGTCTAACCACAAAACCAAGTAAGTCCGTCTGTTATGAGACAACTTTGCGAGAACTTGGTTGATCCACAGACCGGAGTGCACTCAAGCCAATGTCGACTCTAAGCGCTTAGATTTTTCGATTTTTCAGCTATTCAGTTCTTCAATTTTTCGATTTTTTAAGTTTGTTATTTTTCGACTTGCTTTTTTGACTTTTCGATTTCTCAATTTTTCAGTTTATTAATTTCCCAATTTTTGGATATTCGTTCAATTTTGTAATTTTTCAGTTTTTCGATTCTTCAATTTTTTTCTATTTTCCGATTTTTCGATACTTCAATTTGTGATTTCTTAGTATTTCGACTTTTCGATTTTTTAAGATCTGGATTTCTCGACTTTCAGTTTTGGGTTTTCAATTTTTCGTTTTTAAAACTTTAGATTTCTCAATTTTTCAACTTTTCTATATTTCAATTTTTCAATTTTTTCTTTTCTTAGAGGGTGTGTCATTTACCCAAATCAGTCTTAGATTAGGAAGTACTAACCCCGCCCACCCGCCCTCTATTTTCTTAGAGGGATCTCATTTGCGCAAATCATCCTTATCGTAGTAGGTACTAGCGCCGCCCACCCACCCTCGCTTTTCATTTGCCAAAATCAGTTTTATCTTAACAGCTATTAGCTAGGATAAGACTGATTTTTGCAGATCACATACCCTCTAAGAAAAGAGAGGGTGGGTGGGTGGGGCTAGTAATTGCTAAGGTAAGACTGATTTTGGCTAATGAGATATCTTCTAAGAAAAGAGGATGGGTAGGCGGGGCTAGTATGTGTTAGGATTTTTGCAAATGAGATCTCTCTAAGAAAATAGAGGGCAGGTGGGCGGGGTTAGCACTTGCTAAAATAAGATCAATTTTGACAAATGACATACCCTCTAAGAAAAGAGAGGGCGGGTGGGCGGGGTTAGTAGTTGCTAAAATCAGTTTGTGATGTTTATTGTCATAAAAAAATAAAAAATAGAAATACTGAAAAACTGTAAAATCAAAAAATCGAAAAATCGAAAAAGTCAAAAATCAACAAATCGAAAAATAGAAACCCCAGAATTTAAAACATTGAAAAAAAAACTGAAAAATCGAAACATCGAAAAATTGGAAAATCGAAAAATCAGAGGATCAAGAAATTGAAGAGTCGAAAGCTGAGAACAAAAGTTATAAATTGAAAAATTGATGAATCGAGAAATTGAACGATCAAAACATCGGAACATCTGAATTCGATTAATCGAGAAATCCAAAAATTGAAAAATTGAAAAATTTTAAAAAAGAGAAATTAGAAAATTTAAAAATTCGGAAAACTGGAAATATGAAATAAAGTACTGAAAACTCGAGAAATCGAAACACTTAGAATTTTATAAATTGAAAAATGACATCGAAAAGTTGAAAAATTAAAAAATCGAAGTATAAAACAATCGGAAAATTGAAAAATCTAAGGTTTAAAAAATGAAAAACTGAAAATCCAAAAAATAAAAAATCGAGAAATCGAAAATTCCAGAAGTCGAAAGGTGTAAGAATCAAAATACCTATTGAAAAATCCCAAAACTGGAAGAAATATCCAAAAATTGAGAAATCAACAAATTGGAAAGTCGAGAAATAGGAAAATAAAAAATAGATTAATTCAGAAATTGGAAAACTGAAAATTTAGCAAAGTCAAAATTGGAAAAAGAAAAATAGAAATACTGAAGAACTCAAAAATTAAAAAATCGAGAAATCAAAAAATCGAAAATTTAAAACATTGAACAATTAAAATAACGCAAAATTGAAAAATCGAGAAATCCAAACATCAAAAAATCAAAAAATAAAAATTCGAAAATGTAAAATTTAAAAATGGAAAAGCTGAAGAATCGACAAACCGAGAAATCGAAACCCCAAAATTTAAAAAATTGAAAACTTGAAAATTGGATACCTGAAAAATAGAAACATGAAAAAAATTCAAAAACTGAGACATCGGGAAATCGAAAAATCAGAGCATCGAGAAATTGAAGAGTCTAAAGCCGAGAAGAAAAGTTAAAAATTGGAAAATTGATGAATCGAGAAATCAAAAAATTGAAAATCGAAAAATTAAAAAAAATGGAAAAACGAGAATTGAAAAATTCAGAAAATTGAAAATTTGAAATAAAGCAGAACTGAACACTCGAGAAATCGAAAAACTTAGAATTTTAAAAATCGAATTGTTAATTAAAACATTGAAAAGTTGAAAATTTGAGACATCGAAATACATATAAAGCAGTCGAAAAATTGAAAAATCAAAAGTTTAACGAAAAATTGAAAATCCAAAAAGTAAAAAATTGAGAAATCAAAAAATCGAGGAGTTTAAAAGTCGAAAAATCGAAATATTAAAAGCTCCCAAAACTGAAAGAAATACCCAAAAATTGAGAAACTAAAAAATTGGAAAACTGAGAAACCGAAAAACCAAAAAAGTCAAAAAATCGAAAAATCGAAGAATTCAAGAACTGACAAATCGAAACTTTGAGAAGTCGAGAAACGGGAAAATCAAAGATAGATGAATTTAGAAATCGGAAAATTGAAAACTTAGCAATGCCAAAATTGAAAAATTGATAAATAGAAGTCCTGAAGAACTCAAAAATCGAAAACTCGAGAAATCGAAAAACTTGGAATGCTAATAATCGAAAAATTAAAATATCGAAAAGTTGAAAAATTGACAAATCGAAGCATAAAACAATCCAAAAATAGAAAAATCTCAAGTTTAACGACAAATTGAAATTCCAAAAAATAAAAAAATTGAGAAATCAAAAAATTCAGGAGTCCAAAATTCGAAAAGTCGAAAAATCGAATTATTGAAAAATCCCAAAACTGAAAGAGATTTCCAAAAAATTGGAAAATTGGGAACTCAAAAATATAAAAAAACAAAGTCGAAAAATCGTAACCTTAAAAATTGAAAAATCGGAAAATCAAAAATCTGAAAAATCGAAAAATTGAAGAAGTAAAAAATCGAAACTTTGGGAAGTCGGAAAATTAAAAAAAAAAAAAGATTACTTCAGAAATCGGAAAACTGAAAATTTAGAAAAGTCAAAATTTTGAAAAATTGAAAAATCGAAATATTTAAAAATGGTAAAATTGAAGACGACAAAAACTAAGAAATCGTACTATTGAAACATAGGAAAATTGAGAAATCGAAAAATACAAAAAATCGAGAAATCGAAAAATTTTAAATTTAAAAGATTGAACGATTAAAATGTTTTTGCAAAATTGAAAAATCGAGAAATCCAAAAATCGAAAATTTAAAAACTCGGAAAATTGAAATAAAGTAGAACTGAAAACTTGAGAAATCGAAAAACTTGGAATGTTAATAATCGAAAAATTAAAATATCGAAAAGTTGAAAAAATGACAAATCGAAGTATAAAACAATCGAAAAACAGAAAAATCTAAAGTTTAACGACAAATTGAAAATCCAAAAAGTAAAAAATTGAGAAAACAAAAAATTCAGGAGCCGAAAAATCGAAAAGTCGAATTATTGAAAAATCCCAAAACTGAAAGAAATTTCCAAAAAATTGGAAAATTCGGAACTCGAAAATCTAAAAAAACAAAGTCGAAAAATTGGAAAATCAAAAACTTGAAAAATCGAAAAGTTGAAGAATTGAAGAAGTGAAAAATCGAAACTTTGGGAAGTCGCAAAATGGGCAATTAAAAAAAAGATTACTTTAGAAATCGGAAAACTGAAAATTTGGAAACGTCAAAATTTTGAAAAATTGAAGACGATAAAAATTGAGAAATCGTACTATTGAAACATAGGAAAATTGAGAATTCGAAAAATAAAAAAATCGAGAAATCGAAAAGCCGAAAAATCTCAAAAAAAAAATCGAGAAATCGAAAAATTTTAAATGTAAAACATTGAACAATTAAAATATTGCAAAATTGAAAAATCGAGAAATCCAAAAATCGAAAATTTAAAAACCCGGAAAATTGAAAAATTGAAATAAAGTATAACTGAAAACTCGAGAAATCGAAAAATTTGGAATGTTAATAATCGAAAAATTACAATATCGAAAAGTTGAAAAATTGAGAAATCGAAGTATAAAACAAGCGAAAAATAGAAAAATCTAAAGTTTAACGAGAAAATTGAGAAATCAAAAAACTCAGGAGTTCAAAAATCGAAAAGTCGAAAAATCGAATTATTGAAAAATCCCAAAACTGAAAGAAATTTTCAAAAAATCGAAAAATTGGAAAATCAAAAATCTGAAAAATCGAAAAATTGAAGAAGTGAAAAATCGAAACTTTGGGAAGTCGGAGAATGGAGAATTAAAAAAAAAGATTATTTCAGAAATCGGAAAACTGAAATTTTCGAAACGTCAAAATTTTGAAAAATTGAAAAATCGAAATATGTATTTAAAAATGGTAAAATTGAAGACGATAGAAACTGAAAAATCGTACTATTGAAACATAGGAAAATTGAGAAATTGAAAAATAAAAAAAGCCGAAAAATCTCAATAGGGTATTTATAAACCACAAGTTCAGGACTACGCTACTTTTTAACATTTAAATAACATTTATTCGACAAAATTATGTTGTTATTTTTTTCAAAAATCTTGACGTCTAAGGTAAAAACTCAACACGGATTCATAAACCGTAAACGGAGGAAATAAAATTTAAACTGACAAATTTTGGTGAGCGCTTAGAGACGATATTGACCTGCGGGCGCTCTGCTCTGTAGATCAAACAAGTTCTCAGGCGACGAGCTGTTTTTTATTGAATACTACGTACTGACATACGTAAAACATATAATATAATTGTAAAATACCGTAAGTCTCCTCCCTTTTATATTATCCTGCAATCTTCTGGTGACAGAATTGCCAAGAACTCGGTCGGATAGGAGGGAACCATTACAATACTAACCACTTACCGACGTGAGTTGTTTTGTACAACATACAACAACAAACAAATACTTGCAAAATAAAAAGAACGAAACCAACATCTGGGAAACTATGTCTTCGTTTCCTCAAATGTTCAAAGCTGATTAACACAAGCAGATGCAAGCGGCAACAGTTAGTTAATAAAGTGAAAAGTGTAAGTACTGGCTTAAGCGTACATGAGTTTTTTGACTTCATAGGCAAGATGATAGCCGGCATAAGTTGTAGTATCCTGCTCCGGTGGTCTGAAAACAGCACACTGCTGATAGCACACGACATGTCAAACCAATACAATATTGAGAAAAGTAACTGAAGTTTACGCAACACCATCAATCACCCTATGGCTCACGATTTAATATCCAGTAGCGGTAATAAAAAATGTGGTAGATATAGTGGAGAGCAGAAAAACCATGCAGTGCTTCTAGTAGCACTAAAACGCTTGATAGGGTGACGTGGCTGAGAAACCTATACTTATTTTGAAGGAGTTTCAAAATTGGTTAATGTTATCGATAGCGGTATAGACGCGGACAATGTTAAGAGTTTTACCTTGAGTTATAACCAGGTGATACTATGTTTTCTTGTCTTGTCACGTTTGGTTTTACTTTGTTTACTTGTTTTATTGAATTTACCATGTTGGGGACTGTGCTGTTCCTCTGCTGGTTGTGGTTGCGCGGAGTCACTGAAAAACAACACGTTTAGTATGACGGAGATTCGGACGACGGGCGTCTTCCAGGTCTACATAATTGAAGATCTAATAATTTCGCGTATTCGCACTCGAATTTGAAACAGGGTACACCAAAGAGCAAAGACAGAGAGAGAAGATGCAACACCAAACACAACTGGACACGGACACTGAGGGTGTGAGAAACAGAGAACAGTCTTTGAAGTCTTTTCAAATTCAAATTCGAACAACAGTTCTACAGTGGCTCAGATTGACTGCTTTGGAGAAGAGTCAATTTGAGTTAAGCTGCCGCACGTTTTGATTTTCTAGTCAGAGCAGCTGAAGCTTTGTCAATAAAGCAAATACTCTCAACTTACAGTGCATTTCGTCATGCCTGTTCATGTCACCTGCAAAGAAACAAATGTCAATCTCTTTAGTCGTCTCGGAAATGAGAATGGTTCGTTAGAGTTTTCTTAGCTGTTACGTTCGAACTACTCTACTCTAATCGTTACGGCTAATGTAATGAAGGTAAGCGTGAAGGAGAATCGGGGGAACGGACGGTTTGCAGAGTTTTTCAAGAAGCGCGACTTTGATGATCTGAACAAAACCAAACAAAAATGAAAGTTTGTGCGTAGGTTTGGGGTGATAACGGTGCGACTAGAAAGTTGTTGTATACCTCGGACATGAACTTTCTTGGGCAACTCTGGTGGTGTGAAGGTAGGAGGAGGATGATGGTCATCTGTAAACCACAAACCAATCTCGCACATTCAACTATTACTCTAGTCCCTACGCTATTTTTATAGATCTATGCTAATGCTCAGTTGCCGCTGAGTTCCGGGGGTTGTAAGCGCGGAACGCAACCCAACTTCTAGTTCTATCACTATCATTATTGCTAGAGTTAGAACGCAATCAAGTGCTCGCATGCAACACCAACAACAAGCATGCATAAGAAGGCGAAAACATGCAGCAGAAATCAATTGATTAAAGAAGGTTAAAGTGATAGTAGAGTGAAAGAAGAAATGGTGTTTGAGCTAATTTCATATTTGAGGTCTGTTCTGTGATCCTGTGGCCCTTCGAAGAGCTGCTTGATAATAGTTCTTGCAACTTACTTGAGTACGTGAAGTCCTCGCCTGCATACCAAATTAAAATGGGTTTTGTGAAATTTTGTAAGAGCGTGTGTGTCGGTGAAGGATGAAACTTGACGAAGACGAGTTTCGTCAATTTTCATCGTGTGGGAGAAAAGGGATGAATGATGACAAATAAAATAAACAATGAATCCATCATCCTAAGACACTTTTTCTAAAACACACCACTAGGAAATACCTCGTCACATCCAACTAACACACATAAAAATGTATTAAACAAAAAAAACTATCACAATTATTACAGTTTTAATTAATCGTTTGATCAATTCCAGTCTGCATCGTCGAAATTTGGAAGAAACAGTGCTTGAAAAAGAGAGACACAGAGAAAAAAATAAAAATAAAAAACACTTAGTTAGAACGAGCGTAGGTCCGACAACACGTTTACACAGAATAGATAGATGTGTCATATTCGTCACCAAAACTAAAACCAAGAACAAAAAAGTGATGTGTTTTCGTGATTTAAGTGACAAATGATGGAGGGATACGTACTTGCACGGCCAACCATTTGAATGGCCCTCACGCCTTTCCTGAACGTAGCCACTGTACAGCGAACCAGACAAAAATCATTGTTAGTCGTAGCGAAAGTTAACAGCCTTACTGTGGCCTAGCCTATTCGTCAAAGAAGAACGGGCGTTCTTCTTTGACCAGACAGTTCACAACACATAACCCTGGGCTAATGGAAGATAGGCTTGTACAGTGGGTTCGAAGGACATCGGAACAAAATAAAACGTCGGTGGGTGAGATCTAGCGTCGCGTCGTATCAAATAGCCCTTCTGGCGCTTACCGGGGGACCACCTATCGCTCTAACATCTCAACTACTTTAGCTCTAAACGAATAATCCCTTGGGAATTATCTCTTGGTGATTGCTCTAGTTGCGTTGCAGCGGCCAAGTGATTCGTTTTATAATCGGCTAATAAACTGAAACAAAACACCGCACCACAGTATTCGAAATAAAAGAAGCGCATCAGCTAAGCGTGGTATATTTGGGGAGGGCCTACCATCCAGGCATCTTTGATAGGCGGCGTTAAGGCCTTGTTTGACCATGCCTGTCTGCATCATGATCATTCCAACATCTGTAAACAAAGCCAGAAAGAACGAAAAATTCGTGTTACCTTGACGGGGGATGATTAGAACAGAACAAAATAAAGTAAGAATGGAAGTGGCGGACAAGTGGAAGCCCAGGGTACACACATGTCTGTAGCCGTTTGTCCTGTTCTGGATTCCGATACTTACATTGTTTCATGAAATGAACCTAACCATGCATAAGAAATGTGCAAGAGGGTACAGAATGTGTGTCAAAGTACATTCCGTTACGCAGGCAAAATTTCAGCAAGTTTTCGGTACGTATCAAGTACGGAAAATAAATCAGCTACGTATCGTTTCAAAAAGTCAACAAAAAAAAGGAACTCGATTAAAACACTACACATACCAATGGCAAGACTAAAGTGACAGAACCATATTGGAATGTGTAATTCGAATGCAAATAGTAGGTAACATTTCATGGTAGCAAACAAACTAGGTATTATATAAAAAATGTAGAAAGAAAACGAGCCGATCCATCAGGCAGGATCTAGACAGATCTAGAGTCAATTATAGATCATCAATTACCTAGATCATGGGACCAGTTACGTTGCTGAACTGCCACTAAAAGCCACCACAAACAGATTTTTCAGTTATATACGATAGTTAGAAAAACAATTCAAATTTTGTTAACACCAATGGTATCAATGAGAATTTAGTATTTACAAATCACGCTATTAACGAGAATGAAGTGAGACCTACGCAGCTATGAGAATGAGATTACTGATGGACATAACACTGACAACGGAAAATCAGAAAGTTTATGTATAATAGAACTGTTCGACTGCATTTACGCAATACTTCTCGAGAGGTGTAATTTCGGGAAAGAGATAAAAAGCGGACTCACAGTTTTTGCATTTGCATTTTTTGATCAGCGTTTCATCCTTGATGTCTTCGTGACACGCCTTGCAATAGAACCAAGCCCTGAAAAACACGTGAGGAACGTGCGTCTCGTCAAATTTTCTCCCTCACCTTTTCACCTCGTCCGCCGACTGCGCAATAAAGAATCCCTGAGTATTTGCGACGATCTTCGCTCCCCTCGGGTTGATCGAAATCTTGGTGTCCGCACCTTCCGTACCTTTCACTTCGATGGCTAATAGCAGAAGTTTCAGCTTGGTGAAGCATAACCTGACAAAGGTTGGTATTAGACGCTGCTACCACGACGCCAACATCGTACAGACATGTTCTATGTAACGACACGTCTGCAACGAACGCGCTTTCGAAGCGTCGTTCGTCGAAAACGCCCGTTTCCATCCAAAAGAAGCAACTTAATGCACGCCAGTTCATGCACGCAGCTATGTAATATATTTGTTCGTGGTAGGCGTCGATCGGTGCTGACGTCGTTTGTAGTTTGACAGATCGTGACGTCAGCGCCGATGTCCACCTACTGTCAATGTCGCCCAGTCGCTAAAGAAACAAAGAAGAGACGGTCATGCTGGAAGCCAGGGCATAGTGAGAAAGAGCTAATAAAACAACGAAGCAGTACGCAAGCCAAGTTTAAAGTGAGTCGTAAGAACAAAGTACCGTTAAATTCGCTCTAATCGTTATTGTAAGCTCCATCCCCCAAAAAACAGTCTTTCAAAAACAAACCAGTTGCAATAAATCTAAAAATGATCAGTGGTGGGACCTATTCTATGGGGTCAAAATCCATAACACGCAAACACAGAACAATCTACATCTTAGAAAATTATTCCATTAGTAACATAAAACTGCTATTATTTGTGTTGTAGTCGTTTCGGGAACATGGGATCGTGCATCCGCGCATCCGGCGGATGCGCGTCGACCGGATGCGCGGACGTAGTCTTAGTTCGTCAGTCACAGTAGGATCGGTGGGTAATTTTGACAGTATTTGTGTGTTGCGTGTGGTAAAAGAGCTTACTCGCTGGCCTGGGGAAATGTCATGCCTGTGAACGAGGGGGACAGAGTCTCAGTGTACATCTCGCATCCCGTGCCTTGCAGGTAATCGTTCTGCCAGACTTGCGTATCGGGGGACTGAAACCACAATACATCGCCACTCAACACTTGGCATGTCACAGACCACAACCAGCCATCAGAGCGGATCGCTGCTGGCGCGCTTGAAGACCTTCGGGGGCGACCAAGGACAAGGAGTGGCGCGGAGGGGGGAGTCGAAGTAGATGAAGAACATCAACAGCAGATATTACACAAAAGCTTGCGAAAAATTAACCACAAGAACCATACGTAGCGTCATCTTTGTTCATGGTGTTTCGGTTAATTTTTAGGTTAGTCGCACGGTATGGAAACCCGTCGGGCTCGACCATCGCGCTGATCGAGCCCGACGTCCCGCTCGTCGTTGAATAATAGAAAAGTGATTGTAGGGCTCTGCATGAACATGAGTGCATCGTATATGTCGTTTCTGATTTGTCTTTATCCTTCAGCCGACTTACTCTGTAGCCTGAGCAAACGGCATGCCTATAAACGACGGACTGAGCGTCTCGGTATACATCTCCATTCCCGTGCCCCTCAAATAGTCATTGGTCCACACCTGCATGTCTGGAGACTGCAACCATCGAACACTCAATAAAGCAATCAAAAGGAAGGTAACAGGAGTGATTTAAGCTCCGCGTTTCGATTCTGCTGTTGATTGTACACTTTGTGTGTGTGTGATGATGCGTGACCGATCTTACCGTTTTGAAGGAACGCATGGCGAACAAGTTCGCCATCATCGTCGAGAAACCTGGCGCCAGGCAAGACTGCGCTATGAAGCCCAACTTGAGTTCGGCCAGGCAGATCACGTCGTCGCCCTGCTTCCAGTCCCAAGACGGAATGTTGAGAAGGTACGCCTGAAAAACGGGATCAGCGTCTCCAACCGAGCCACGTATTCGAGTACCTTGTTGTGGTACTGCATCAGTTGGATGATAACCCTGATGTCGTCGCTGTAGTTCTTGATGGAGATGACCCTCATGATGTTGGCTGCGTCTTCCGCGTCGGGATCTTGGCAGTACTTGTTCGCGAGGACCAGGCACGCGTCTGCTTCGTGTACCTGCAGGTTTGACGGACGTCAGGTACTGTCGGAACATAAACGACGGAAAAATCTCCCAGTCTGTCGTCGATCGGTCATTGAGCAAACGCATTGACGGGTCGTTAGAGAAAGACTGCGGGATTGCACGGCAGTACCCAAAAAGTTTGCAAAAACCCAATTTCGGCTCTCTATGTATATAGCATGGCTCAAAAGCTAAACTATGGCAGAGCCAAACCCTACTGGTTGGTAAATCATGCATTTTATTGTTAAAATTTTGCTCTACCATTCCACAAATCCAATGCCAGAAAGAACAAGAATACTAACTTCTGTTGCAAGAGTCGATCAACAGTGCGTTCCTGATGTGGCGTTAGTTATAAAACTAGGGCATGCATTTAATTTGGTGAGCTCATGTATTGAGAATAATCTGTTGGTTCTGGTCGTCATTTTTGAAATGAGGCCACTTACCAATCTGGCGGGGGTAAGAAGTTATCGGTCCTAAAGTCTATTATTGGGAGGGGCGCTAATTGTTCTGTTAGTCGCAAATGAAAGGAAGACAATGTCTAAGTTTAAGACGTTTTAAACAGAACATAATGAATAAATTAGTTTAACGAGGGAACGAAACGATTAAAATTCCCTGGACAAGGTATTTACGAGTAGTGACAACTTAAAAACAGTTAACATATCGAAAACAACCATGTAATGATGACGTGGGTGTGGCGACTTACCTTCACCCTTTGCAGGTCAATAGGGTTCATGATGGTACCTTGGAAGAACTCTACAGTTGTGAAATGTCTCTTGAAGAGACCTTCCAGTTCGAGGTCTGGTGGTTTCCTGCACATTTCAACAGTTAACCACTAAAACAACAACATTGACGCAGGATTGAACATGATATAAAGTGTGACACCGTATCTACGATCCAGTTTGGGCATACACCAGACCAGCAATACCATGCAGCAGAAAGGCACTTGTGACTATCCTACTACTCTGCGACGGCTTTCCAACCTCTCCGAGCGGAGAGATTGCAAACCCCAAAAAACAAAAGTATGTGCGGCGAGGTAAAAAGCGAATTTTAATAATAAACACACGGTCCATAAGTTCCAACAGAAGTGTAAAACCCCTTCGGTACCTTGACGCGTTCAAGGTCAACGGCATTCATCATCGTCCCCTGAAAAAACTCCACAGTTGTGTAGTGGCGTTTCAGCAGACCCTCCAGCTCCAAGTCCGGCTCTTTTCTAAAAACCAACGTCACACAATCTTAAAATTGGGGGTGGCACAGACGGCGGTCATCGGCTCTGACGTGAGGTGAGGTTTCAAGGGTGTACCCGTTACGAGAAACCCTTGAACTTGAAACTGGTCCAACACAAAAACGGAAGTCGTTAAAATTTGCATTCTGTTTGCCGAGGGACGAGTTCAAGGGTCTCGTAAGGGCGATTATGGCGATTAATTAATCATTACTGAGGCTTCAGGAGTGACGTCGGTTTAAGGTCTTGGAGGAAGTTAATTAATAGTACGGTGTGCGTAATTGGCGTTTCGTGGTGTCGGTGTCTTGTTTTCGTAGAAGAAGGGAGTCAGCAGAGCGGTTACTAAGAATTAAACGAGGTGAGATTGATAACCGCTCTGTTGACTCGGTGACAGTTAAGAGTGTATGTGATGGTAATCGAAAAGTATGCTCTACCTGTGCAAGAAAACAACTTCCACGTCCACGTCTTCTCGATCTTCGTGGAGGAAATCCTTCAAAAAATGCGATACCGACTCGTAGGTGATGTGTCCACACACAACAATATGCCTAAGTTCCACAAAACAGAATTAGTTGAGGGTCGGGTGAAGGAGGATTGTGTCGTTGCACGAAATAATCATGCTTGAAGAATGAAAAGGACGCAAAACTATTCAGTGCAACAACTTGATGAAATCGCAATCCGTAGAACTAGCACAAACTATTCGTAAAAGAAACAAAAAAAAGTGGGTGCGTTATATCAAACCGAAACTGTTAGGAAACTAAGATGTTAATAAACCGATTAGTTCAAAAATCAGCATGCAAGAATAAAAACTGGAAAACCATGATGACTTGGTCTAAGTTGTTTTCTATATTCCTATTCTATAATGTACAAGGTGAGCGCCTGTGCACACAGCCTGGCCACGCACAATTGTCGGGTGGCACGAATCTCACATGCCTTCATGCATCTCACTCTAACACCGCTCCGTGGCACACGGCTTATAACACCCACACGAGCCCCCGGAAGGAAAAACACATCGACACAACATTAAAAACAGACCGTATCGAAGGTGGGAGAACATTAAAAAGGGACGAGAAGCGTGCAGGATAAAATGGTAAGTATATATAAACAGCAAAAGATGCGGTACCGAGTTTCCAGAGGTGTTAGAGACCGGAAACCCGGCACCGCTCCGTCTATACTGTTCTGGTTCTCACCTTCTGCCTCTTTCGTTCTTCAGGGTGCCGCCGTACTTTGGTCTAGTCCCGATCAAGTCAATGATCTCGGGGATACAACTCGCAAATATCGCCTAGACGCCAGGACAAGAGACACATTTCGCATTTGTACAGAGGCAACGGGGGCGGGTTGACCGAGGTCAACGCGGCCCCCACAAGCGCTAAGGGGGGAAGGAGCGGGCCGGAAGACGATGGAGCTGGGATATCTTGTTGCGTACAATTAACATCGATCTGATATGCGTTAGTCCAATTAGAGGAGCCTTACAGGTCGTTTTTATTTTGAGATTTTCTACCCTGAGGTGTTAAGACACAGGCGTCTTTTCAGTTATCCTGCACTTTCGTTCGATGCAGCGCGGCCGTGCGTGGCTCTAGCAGGCTGTGCAGGCTTGTTTGGGTGCTACTAATCGACTACAGGACCAGCTATGGTCTAACTAGACTCCACTCATCCCATTCTGTATGCTCTGTCCAAACGAAACCAACGCACAGACACGTTTCTGGTTGGCAGTGACAAAAAGGGAAGGAGGGCGGTCAGATTTAGTACTAAACAAAACAAATTAGTGGATTAAGCATACAGAATGCACGTATCAGTCGGCTGCTAGCTCAGCATGCCAACCCAGCAAACTGCGTCCAAATCTCAAAAACGTGCGCCACTACTACACCGTTTGCTGGGACGATAATCAACTCTAAAGGTGATTGCTAGATGAGTACCAAACATATTACCCGCTACGCTAAAGCGCACCGACGGGTGATATCTTTGGATGAAACAACGCTAAAAAGTTACCGAGTAGCGCAAAGCATAACCCAAGTGCTACAAACTGAGAAATAATAATCACAGCGTCATTCCGAGTGGTTATAATTATATGTATATAAAAATGTAAAAAGATGGATGGAATATAATAATAATATGTAGCAGCCTTGGTTTAATACCTGCGTCGTATGTCTTTGCTGTACTTTCCGCCGTACTTGGGTCGATTGGCAGCGAGCTCTGTGATCTCAGGAATCCAGCTGGCAAACACGGCCTAACAACCCACACACCCCATCAGGCTCCTCCTCGGACCCCAATTTTATATACTACTCTACGATTATGTTATGGACTAACACTAACATACGACAACAACGTTTTGCAGCGGTTCGGTTGGAACTGAACGGTTCAGACGCCGGTTTCTGCACTCGCCTTGATCGGAGTTTGCGGTTCCTCTCGTGAAAGACGAATTTGAAACGTTTTCGTGCAGAAACCGGGGTCGCGCATCTCTGGTTTGTCGGAAAACCGAATACGTATACACAAACTAAAAGGGAGGGGGACAAACGACCAAAAATAATTCGAACTAAACGAAAACGTGTGTTTATTTTGGTACAAAATGACATGGCGTTAACAGACGAATCATACATCACCACAAATGCAAAAAGGTGAGGGTTACTATGTTATCGATGCAACTAGGTGGTAGTGCAAGGGGTTGCAACACATTTACGTGAACGTTAGGTATTAAATTTCGACTAAAAAAAAAAAGTGTGTGCGGGCTGGCTGTGTTTAATAATCTTAGTACTACGAAATGAAAAATGTAAAAAATTGACATGCATTTTCCGGCTGTACAAGTCGATGAATATGTGATTATTTTTTCGTCGGGAAGAAATACGTTGGTGACACAGAGAGAGTTATTTATAAATTTGGCAAAACGTCGCGGACAATCCGGAAGAATTTTTATTTTTAAGTCGAACGATATTTCTTCCTCGTTCGAATAATACCTTTTTCCATGTTCTCTCTTGTACTCGCCGCAGTATTTGGATCTAGTGCCTACTAGATCTATGATTTCTGGAATGCTACTAGCAAATATTGCCTGGAAACAAACATTCCTGATGCTGTAAATCAGTGTTGAGGTAAGTGGGAGAAACCGGCGGGCCGGTTTTTCCCGTCGTTAGCTACTAAAAGCACAATCTACACGTAAGCAAAAGAAGCGTTTCTGCAGTGCCGACAGAAGTGGAACCATGCAATAGTGGTAGAAAATGTCAAAATACACAAAACAACATTAACATTTTCGTACGGTAACAATACCTAAAGATCCCAAGAAAGGTAGTGGACAAAGGGTAACTTTGTGTGTGTAAGGAAACGGTTTTAAGGTTACGTAATGAAAAAAATTCACATTGGAAGTGTGAAGCCGACTTCATCTCAGCTTGCGCACCATACATTCTTTATTTACAATAGATAAGAGCAGCTTCAGATTGAAGTAAGCTGCAAGCACCTGAACATTGCAACATTGCTGTTGTCGGTTTTTTTTTTAACTAGAACATCTTTTGATAGAAAGAGAAAGAGTCAGCAGAATGGGAGGTATCCTCTTTAATTGCGATTATATAGACACTTACCAATCCGACCAGGAGGAAGAACACCAGAAATGTTCTTCCGAGCACCGTGTGACAATAGACGTCGCCATAGCCCACCGTGGACATGGTCACGATTAAAAAATAAACGCACGTCCAGTAGGGCAACGGGTTCGGATTTTTGAACTCTAAGGGGTCGCCGGAGTTCTCCAACTGGAACAAAGCAAAACGGGAGTGAAAGTCGTCGGTACTTCGGGCGTCACTCACCAAGTGGATGATCCCGGCCGCTGTAAGCCAAACAGATATAAATATGGACACTAACTGAGCAAGTCGTATGGAGCTGGAAGTCTTCAGTATATTGAGGTATTGAAGAATATCCGGGACAGTCATTAAGCGCAACGCACGCAGAAATCGAAGGCCTGAAAGCACACACTTTCCACACCACCCTTTCCACCTCTCCACCCTTACCTATCCACGTGCGGTCCAAGTAAATGGAGACAAAGGACGGGGGTATCGTGAAATAGTCTACGAATGAGTACATTTCTAGCATAAACCATAACTTATCGCTAGCGGCTATAAACTGCAAAAGAAAGCGAGAATAAGTCATCCGCGAGCTAATAAATTCCAGCGTGATTGTTTTTCCGGCTGTTTTTACACGGCACTTAAGACTCGTTAACGAGTCTACTTAAAATCCGCCGTAAATCATCCGTGGTGCTTTAGAGGCTCTCCACGTAAACTCACGTGGATCAGATCGGCCCGATCCGAGGGCTGATACTTACTCTTATTAAAAAATAGACCATAAAAAATATGTTGAAGGCAAGGTCGATTTGTTGCGTGATATTGTTGCTCCATTCCTGGCAGCGCTCCACACCTTCACTGAAAACAATATAATCGTCATCAGTTCTTAATTTAGCAGACTTGGACATTGCGATGCAAACGTCGCACCCGACGCCATTCACCCAAACAAAGCAAAAGGTGGGCCGAAGGCGGCTTGGTCTGGCGCCCAGACGAAAGGAATGGCGTTAGAGTTAGCACAAAGCCCAAAGTTTTGGAGCAGATTTGCGCTTCCGGACTCGGGAAGATGATTCTTAGAGTGCGAGAAAATTTTTTTTTGGATTTCTCAAACTTGTTACTTCTCGAGCTAGGTGGAGGAAGTTTGTAATCGAGTCCGTTGGACGACTGGCCAATTTGACGTTTTTTCGACGTTTCATGACTCTTATACAAGGTGACTCAAAAAAATTAATAAATGAGGCAATTTATTACATTGATTAAAATCAAAAAAGACCCACTCTATTTCCCCGAAACTTTGGGAATACAGTACTCTGATTACATTGATTACATCTATCCAAACAGACATACGTGGCCTTGAAAAAATTTTATGACATCATCACAAAATTTTGTATTGGAACAAATGCGGTAATTTACATTTAACTTACAAGGGTTATCATAAAAAAATAAATTTTTCCAAAAATCTGGATTTATTTACCTTCGACCAATTTTTGGGTATCACATTTTTTTCTTTTTCTACGATTTTACAATTTTTTAATATCACAATTTTTCATTTTTTCATTTTCTTTAATTTACGAATTCGATTTGCAATTTTCTATTTTCCAATTTTTCATTTTTCGATTTTCAGTTCATCAATTTTTAATTTATTAACGGTTAATATACCTTTGCATAGATTTATATACATAAATATGCAAATATTAAAAAGAAAAATAAAAAAAAAATGATTTTTGTTTTTCATTTTCTCGATTCTTAATTTTCATTTTCTCGATTTTAAATATATCATAATTTTTCGTTTCTTCAGTTCCTTCATTTTTTAAAGTTTCTTTGCATTTTATAATTTTTCGTTCATTCAAGTTTCCTAATTTTCATTTTTTGATTTTTCAATTCCCTGATTTTCAAATTTTTAAATTTTTCAATTTTGCAATTTTTTGGTTTCTCAATTATTCGATTTTCCGATTCCTTTTTTCATTTTCCCGATTTTTAATTTCAATTTTCTCGATATTATATCACTGTTACATAATGTTTTATCATTTCTTATTCAATTTTTCAAATTTTTAATATTTGATTTTTCAATTCGTTGGTGTTTCAGTTTTTAAATTTTCCAATTTAGCAATTTCTGGATTTCTCAATTATCTGATTTTTCGATTTCTTTCATTTTCAATATTTCGATTTTACAATATTTCACTTTTCGATTTTATTTTGCGCTTTTTCGGTTTCTAAGTTTCTCAATTTTAATCTTTCATTTTTCGAGTTTTCGATTCTTCAATTTATAAAATTTTTAAAGTTTTCATTTCTTTATTTTTCAGTTTTACAATTTTGGAATTTTTCCATTTTTTTTAATTCGAAAAATTCGAAAACCCAAAAATTGTAGAATCAGAAAATTATGAAATCGTCAAAATTGTGAAGTCGAAAAATCAAATATCGGGGAATTTTCCTTTTTTTTTGATTCGAAAACTTGAAAAATCGAAAAATTGGAAAATCGAAAAATTAAAAATTGAAAAACTAAAAAATTGGAAAAAAAATTGGAGAATTTATTAAAAATTTATTTATTTATTAAGAATTTTATGCTTTTCAGTTTTTTCATTTTTGATTTTTCAGTACTACAATTTTGCAATTTTTTACCACTTTTTTTAATTCGAAAAGTACAAAATCGGAAAATTGAAAACCCAAAAAATTGTAAAATCAAAAAATTATGAAATCGTCAAAATTGTAAAGTCGCAAAATCAAATATCGGAAACTGAAGTTTTCATTTCTTTATTTTTCAGTTTTACAATCTTGCAGTTTTTCCATTTTTTTGATTCGAAAAATTGGATAATCGAAAAATTAAAAATTGAAAAACTAAAAAATTATAGAATTTATTAAGAATTTATTTATTTATTAAGAATTTGATGTTTTTTGGTTTTTTTATTTTTGATTTCTCGGTTTTACAATTTTGCAATTTCTTACCATTTTTTTCAATTCGAAAAATGAAAAATCGGAAAATTGAAAAAACGAAAAACTAAAAAATCGAAAAACTGAAAAAACGAAAATTTGCAAACTCGAACAAGTGGAAAATCGGAAAATTGTAAATTGAAGCAGTGAGGAAACGAAAGATTGATACAATGGAAAATTAAAAATCGAGAAACTTAAAAACGAAAAAAAAAATTAATTGAACAAGTGGAAAACCCAAAAATTGTAGAATCAAAAAATTATGAAATTTTCGAAATTGTAAAGTCCAAAAATCAAATATCGGGAAGTGAAGTTTTCATTTCTTTATTTTTCAGTTTTACAATTTTGCAATGTTTCCATTTTTTTGATTCGATAAGTTGAACAATTCGAAAATCGAAAAATTAAAAATTGAAAAACTAAAAAATTGGAAAAAAAAAAGAATTTATTAAGAATTTATTTATTTATTGAGAAATTTATTCTTTTTGGTTTTTCATTTTCGATTGTTCAGTTTTACAATTTTTCAGATTTTTACCATTTTTTTTTATTCGAAAAATGAAAAAACGAAAAATTGTAAAACCGAAAAAATGGAAAACCGAAAAATTGAAAATCGAAACAGTGAGGAAACGAAAGATTGAAACATTGGAAAATTAAAAATCGAGAAACTTAAAAACGAAAAAAAAAATGAATCGAAAAATTGGAAAACCCAAAAATTGTACATAGAATCAAAAAATTATCAAATCTAAATTGAAGAATTTTTTAAGAATTTATTTATTTATTAAGAATTTGATGTTTTTTAGTTTTTTCATTTTTGATTTTTCGGTATTACAATTTTACATTTTTTTTCCAATTTTTTCTATTCGAAATGTGCAAAATCGGAAAATTGTAAAATCAAAAAATTATGAAATCGTCAAAATTGTAAAGTCGAAAAATCAAATATCGGAAATTGAAGTTTTCATTTCTTTATTTTTCAGTTTTACAATCTTGCTTTTTTTCCATTTTTTTTATTCGAAAAGTAGAAAAATCAAAAATTGGATAATCGAAAAATTAAAAATTGAAAAACAAAAAAATTGGAAAAAACTTGGAGAATTTATTAAGAATTTATTTATTTATTAAGAATTTTATACTTTTCGATTTTTTGATTTTTGATTTTTCAGTTTTACAATTTTGCAAAAAAAATTGAAGAATTTATTAAGAATTTATCTATTTATTAAGAATTTTATAATTTTTGGTTTATTCATTTTTGATTTTCAAATTTTACAATTTTGCTTTTTTTTACCATTCTTTTCAATTCGAAAAATAAAAAATCGGCAAATTGAAAAAACGAAAAACTAAAAAATCGAAAAACTGAAAAAAACGAAAATTTGCAAAATCGAAAAAGTGGAAAATCGAAAAATTGCAAATCGAAGCAGTGAAGAAACGAAAGATTGAAACATTGGAAAATTAAAAATCGAGAAACTTAAAAACGAAAAAAAAAAATGAACCGAAAAATTGGAAAACCCAAAAATTGTAAAATGAAAAAATTATGAAATCGTCAAAATTGTAAAGTCTAAAAATCAAATATCGGGAATTGAAGTTTTCATTATTATATTTTTCAGTATTACAATTTTGCAATTTTTCCATTTTTTTGATTAGAAAAATTAAAAATTGAAAAACTAAAAAAATGGAAAAAATTGGAAGAATTTATTTATTTATTAAGAATCTGATGCTTTTTGGTTTCTTCATTTTTGATGTTTCAGTTTTACAATTTTGCAACTTTTTACCAAATTTTTTATTCGAAAAATGAAAAATTAGAAAATCGAAAAATTGCAAATCCAAGCAGTAAAGAAACGAAAGATTGAAACATTCGAAAATTAAAAATCGAGAAACTTAAAAACGAAAAAAAAACTGAATCGAAAAATTGGAAAGCCCAAAAATTGTAAAATCAAACAATTATGAAATCCTCAAAATTATAAAGTCGGAAATTGAAGTTTTTATTTCTTTATTTTTCAGTTTTACACTCTTGCAATTTTTCCATATTTTTGATTCGAAAAGTTGAAAAACCGAAAAATTGGATAATTGAAAAATTAAAATTTGAAAAATAAAAAATTGAAGAATTTAGTAAGAATTGATTTATTTATTAAGAATTTTGGCGTTATTTTATTTTTTTATTTTTGATTTTTCGGTTTTACAATTACAATTTAGACATGAAAAATTGGAAAAATGAAAAAACGAAAAACTAAAAAATCGAAAAAGTATAAAATCGAAAAATTGCAAATCGAAACAGTGAAGAAACGAAAGATTGAAACATTGGAAAATTAAAAATCGAGAAACTTAAAAACGAAAGAAAAATCAATCGAAAAATTGGAAAACCCAAAAATTGTAGAATCAAAAAATTATGAAATCATCAAAATTGTAAAGTCTAAAAATCAAAAATCGGGAATTGAAGTTTTCATTACTATATTTTTCAGTATTACAATTTTGAAATTTTTCCATTTTTTTATTCCAAAAATTAAAAATTGAAAAACTAAAAAAAAATCAAAAAAAAATTGAAGAATTTATTTATTTGTTAAGAATTTTTTTCATTTTTGATTTTTACTTCCCGAGCGTAAGCAAAGGAAGTATTGTAATCGAGTCCGTCGGCCGACTCTCTACTTTTACGTTTTCTCGATCTTTCATGACCCCTAGAAGACGAAGAAATAGGTCTCCCATTTCCGTCTGTCTGTCCGTCCGTCTGTCCGTCTGTTGTCCCGGATTTTTATTAGACAGATAATCTCCGAAAGTACTCGACCGATTGTTGTGAAATTTTGTACTTATATTAAGAATATCATGTAGATGGTAAAACGCTAACCAAAATTTGTCTAATCATCCCCACCACTAAAGCGATGACGTCACTTCAAAATTGTACATAGTAAATGGGTTTTCAATTGTATAAAATAACATAGTCCTACACATGTAGTTTACAACTCTGAATCGACTTTTCACCCGAAACGTCCAGATTTTTGGAAAAAAAAATCAAAATTATAAAACAACATTTTGAAATTTAATTTTTAATCTGCTAACCAGAATGCTTTGAAATGTTGCAGATGTTTTAAGGCTATAAAGAGCATCATAAATCTTTAGTCAAAAAATATTTGCTTATCCCCTCCAAAAACTTGATGACGTCAGCTCAAAAGTTTGTGGAATAAATCATATCTAAAATGTACAAAATATGATGAGTCTGTACTTGTGATCTATCACTCCATTCATATTTTTTGGATTTGCATATACAGGGTGACTCAAAAAAATTAATGAATGCGTAAATATATTTTTTTGATTTAATCAGGAACTACAAAACCGAATGCTCTGAAATCTTGCAGATGTTTTAAGGTCATAAAGAGCATAATAAATGTTTAGTCAAAATATATTTGCTTATCCCCTCCAAAAACTTGATGACGTCAGCTCGAAAGTTTGCCGAATAAATCATATCTAAAATGTACAAAATATGATGAGCCTGTACTTGTCATTTATCACTCCATTCATATTTTTTGGATTTGCATGTACAGAGTGACTCAAAAAAATTAATGAATGCGTAAATATATTTTATTGATTTAATCAGGAACTACAAAACGGAATGCTCTGACATCTTGCAGATGTTTTAAGGTTATAAAGAGCATAATAGATGTTTAGACAAAATATATTTGCTTATCCCCTCCAAAAACTTGATGACGTCAGCTCGAAAATTTGCCGAATAAATCATATCTAAAATGCACAAAATATGATCAGTCTGTACTTGTGATCTATCACTCCATTCATATTTTTTGGATTTGCATATACAGGGTGATTCAAGAAAATAAATGAAAGCGTAAATTTATTTTACTGATTTACTCAGGAACTACAAAACCGAATGCTTCGAAATCTTGAAGATATTTTAAAATTATCATAAGCATGGTAAATTTTTGATCAAAATGTATTTGGTCGTCCCCCCTAAAAAATGTATGTACGTCACCACAAAATTTTGCTGAATAAATCCTATATAAAATGTACAAAATATGATGAGTCTGTACTTGTGATTTATCATTCCATTCAAATTTTTTCGATTTGCATATACAGGGTGACTCAAAAAAATTAATGAATGCGTAAATTTATTTTATTGATTTAATCAGGAACTACAAAACCGAATGCTTTGAAATCTTGCAGATGTTTTAAGGTTATAAAGAGCATAATAAATTTTTAGTCAAAATATATTTGCTTATCCCCTCCAAAAAATTGATGACGTCAGCTCGAAAGTTTGCCGAATAAATCCTATCTAAACTGTAAAAATATGATGAGTCTGTACTTGTGATTTATCATTCCATTCATATTTTTGGATTTGCATATGCAGGGTGACTCTAAAAAATTAATGAAGTCGTGAATTTATTTTATCGATTTAATCAGGAATTACAAAACCGAATGCTTTGAAATCTTGGGAATATTTTAAAGTTATTATAAGCATGGTAAACTTTTGTTCAAAATGTATTTGTTCATCCCTCCTAAAAAAATTGATGACGTCACCCTTAAATTTTGCTGAATAAATCCTATCTAAAATGCAAAAAATATGATGAGTTTGTGCTTGTGATTTATCATTCCATTCATATTTTTACTTCCCGAGCGTAAGCAAAGGAAGTATTGTAATCGAGTCCGTAGGCCGACTCTCTGCTTTTACGTTTTCTCGATCTTTCATGACCCCTAGAAGACGAAGAAATAGGTCTCCCATTTCCGTCTGTCTGTCCGTCCGTCTGTCCGTCCGTCTGTCCGTCCGTCTGTCCGTCTGTCCGTCCGTCTGTCCGTCCGTCTGTCCGTCCGTCTGTCCGTCCGTCTGTCCGTCCGTCTGTCCGTCTGCCGTCCCGGATTTTTATTAGACAGATAATCTCCGAAAGTACTGGACCGATTGTTGTACTTATATTAGGAATATCATGTAGATGGTAAAACGTAATGAGAAAAAAAACACAATAGGCATGCAGTCGTCAAGTTTCCGACAGCGAGGGAAGTACTGTCTAAACTCTTTAGACCAATTTTTTAGTATTACAATTTTGCAATTTTTTACCATTTTTTCAATTCGAAAAATCGGAAAATTGATAAAACGAAAAACTAAAAAATCGAAAAACTGAAAAAACGAAAATTTGCAAAATCGAAAAAGTGGAAAATCGAAAAATTGCAAATCGTAGCAGTGAAGAAACGAAACATTGAAACATCGGAAAATTAAAAATCGAGAAACTTAAAACCAAAAAAAAAAAATGAACCGAAAAATTGAAAAACCCAAAAATTGTAAAATGAAAAAATTATGAAATCGTCAAAATTGTAAAATCGAAAAATCAAATATCGGGAACTGAAAAATTAAAAATCGAAAAAATGAAAAATCGGATAAATGAAAAAGTTTTAAAATACAATAATTGAAAAATGGAAAAATTCTAAAACCGTTAAATTAAAAAAGTGAAAAATTTGAAAACTGAAAATCGAAACAGTGCAAATCGAAAAATTAAATTATAAAATCAGAATAATAGAAAACCGAAAAACAGAAAAAATAAAGAATATAAGAAACCGAAACGAAAAATTGTAAATGGAAAAATTAAAGAAATGAAAAATTGAAAAATCGCAAATCTGAAAAATTGAAAACTGGTGAAATTGCAAATCAAGAAATTGCAAAATCTAAAAACTGAAAAAAACAAAGAAAATAAAAAACCGGAACGAAAATTGCAAAATCTATAATTTGAAAAATTCAAATTTGGAAAACTGAAAAACTGAAAAATTTAAACTTGAAAACTCGAAAAACTGCAAACCGAAAAAACTGTAACTGTAAAAACAAAAAATTAACAAACAAAATTGTAAAAATAAAGAAAACAAAACCCCGAAAGGAAAAATTGTTCATCGAAAATTTGAGAAAATGAAAAATTAAAAATCGAAACATTGCAAAATTTAAAAATTGAAGAAACAAAAAAGTAAGAAAAATTGAAAAATCGCAAATCGAAAAATTGAAGAAACGAAAAATAAAAAGAATTAAAACTAAAAAAACAAAAAACTATAAAAAAAACAATGAAACATTGAGAAATTGAATACTTAAAAAAATAAAGAAAATAAAAAACCAAAAGGAAAAGTTACAAAAAAATTGAAAAATTGAAAAGTTGGAAAATCGAAAAACTGCAAATCAAAGCAGGGAAGAAGGGAGAGATTGAAACACTGGAAAAATAAAAATCGAGAAACCTAAAAACGAAAAAAAATCGAAAAAATGAAAAAGTTTTGAAATCCAGTAATTGAAAAATGGAAAAATTCTAAAACCGCTAATTGAAAAAGTGAAAAATTTTAAAAACTGTAATTATTATCAAATATTTTAAATAAAAACTAGAAAAATTACAAATCAAAAAGAGGTGAAAAATCGGAAAATCGAGAAGTTGAAAAATATAAAATTGAAAACACGAAACTGAAAAAATCTGAAAACTGAACACCGAAAAATTCCAAATCGAAAAATTAAATTATCCAAAAATTGAAGAAAAATTATAAAATCAGAACAATAAAAAACCGAAAAATAGAAAAAATAAAGAAAATAAAATACTGAAACGAAAAATTGTAAATCGAAAAACTGAAGAAATGAAAAATTAAAAAATCGCAAATCTGAAAAAATAAAAATTGAAAACTCGTGAAATTCTCGTGAAGGAACAAAAAAATGAATAATTAAAAAGCTGCAAATCGTAAAATAACTGAAGAAAAACTGAAATTATAAAAAAAATCGAAAAATTGTAGAAATAAAGAAAATAAAAAAACTAAAAATTGCTCATCGAAAATTTGAAGAAATGAAAATCGAAAAATTCATAAAATAAAAATTTAAAACTCGAGAAATTTTAAATCTAAACATTGCAAAATTTAAAAAGTGCAGAAACAAAAAAATAAGAAAAATTGAATAAGGGCAAATCGAAAAATTGTGGAAACGAAAAATTGTGGAAACGAAAAATTGAAAACATTAAAATTGAAAACCAAATATGAAACCAAAACATTCACAAATTGAATGTTTGAAAAAATAAAGAAAATAAAAACTAAAACGAAAACTGTTAATCGAAAATCTGAAGAAAAAAAGTGTTATTTACGTCACTGGTTCTTACTGTGTAGAGGTAGGTAGGTAACCAACCTATGAACTTTAAGATTTTGAATTTTTCTATAAAAATTGAACTAGAATTAGAAACGAATATGATATATCTGTAGAAGAAGGAATATAAATTCTAACATAACGCAAGAGCGAAAAAAAAAACGAAAAGAAAGATTTTGGAAACAAGTTTCGGCTTTGTGCTAATCCCGCTCCATTCCAACCCCAAATCAAGAGTTCCCTTTTTTCTTTTTTTCTCTTTGATTATTAGTGGTCAAACGCGAAACCTTAAAGCTCAGTCAGCAGAAAAAAGCTCGCTTATTGATTGCAACCAGTGGCGTTCAATACTCACTTTGAGGCATCGATGAAGTAGATAATAAGCGACGCTATGCTTAGAATGAACACCAGCACCACCTGCAAAAAACCAACAAAATTAGAAATCTCAAACAAACTAACCAGATTTAACAATTAATCGGCCCCGGCCCGTAAATCAGGTTAGAAACAGAAACAGCCAGATTTATGTACGGACGAAATGAAATTCCGGAGGAAAAAGCGACTCTGACGGACTGCGAGCCTGAATTATGTATTTGAGAGGAATTCGCGTTATTAGAGAAAGCGGGTGTGCGTCAGGGCTGCTCACTCGGCTCGATACTCTTTCGTGTTATTGGAGCTTTGCACAGTTGAGGAAAAGTCGCATTCGATAGCGATACGATCGAACGTAATGCTTTTACAGGAAGCTTCCGACACGATAGCGATGGCACGCTATTTGCTGTTAATTTTCGACTTCGCGACGCTTCCTCGGACCGCTTTGTCGGTTATTTGTTAATTAGGTGCGGATGGGTGGTATTTGCGACGACTATTTCGGCGTGACGTAATGGGATAGTTTGCAGTTGCGACGGACTTTGATCTTGGAGGTGTAGCGTGTGGATGTGTACACTTGTCGGAGGGTTAGGTAAATATAATAAATTTCTCTTTATTTGCTCTGCTATCCACCGGTTTGAGCTTCTACGTGGATATTGGATGGCGAAAGGGAAGCTAATTTTAGATCTTGGACTGTTTGTACATTGCTCAAGAATAAATAGGAACAAACTCCAAACTGCTGGTGGCAGTAGTTCGGATTTTTACGTGTTTGGTCTTCAGACAACATTATTTCAAAGCAAAACTACACATTTTAAACTTTTATTCAGAACATGTATGCTATGCTGTGTAATTTAGGAAAGTAATATCCAGAATATTGCGAGTGTGTCTTTTCAATGTTTTTATTGATCAAGTCAAAAACGGTAGATCCCGTAAATGTTGATTGGAACATTTTCCGCTAGGAAAACGAAAACTCACTAGAAACACAGACATAGCCTTACATTCATATTTTTGGAGCAATTGTTCGACTTTTTTAAAACAAATGTTTGCAGTTGCATTTTCACTATATCATCGGTGGAGAAGTGTGAACTGACACACCGCGCCAGACCAAATATAAAAGTCAATGTACAGTGTGTTTTCGTAACATAATGCGTTCGAATCAATGGCACTGGCGGAGTGTATCTAAACGCTGTAGATTTTTTGATAAATTTTCAATTTATCTCATAAACTGTGCCGTCGACTACGCTAAAATTTTATACTCGTTTTACATTTTTTGTAAATGTAGTTAATTGCCAATCAGAATTTATCGCTTCATCTTATCCAAAAATTTGATGACGTTATCTTAAAATTTTATTTAAAAAATGTTCACATGAAACATACGCATAGAAGGTATTATATATATATATAAAAAATTGGTAGTATGTTATTAAATAGAACTTGAACTGAAGTGCAAACAAACAAATACAGTTTTGTTTTGTTTTTGAAGTAGTTTGAAAAAATCTCGGGGACTGTTTTTGTTTTGTTTTTGAAGTAGTTTGAAGGAATCACTTGTCTTATTTTTGCAGTGATTTGAAAGAATCTCGAGGACTTCTTGCGGTTAGTTTTTGAACTAGTTTGAGAGAATCTCGAGGACCCTCTTTGTTTTGTTTTTGAAGTAGTTTGAAGGAATCCCTTGATTATTTTTGAAGTAACTTGAACGAATCTTGAGGAGCTCTTGGGTTTTGTGTTTGAAGTGGTTTCAAAGAATATCGGATATTTCTTGTCTTGCTTTTAAAGTAGTTTCAAAGAATCTCGGGGGCCTTTTTTGTTTTCTTTTTGAAGTAGTTTGAAAGAATCTTGGGATCCCGTGTCTTGCTTTTGAAGTAATTTGAAAGAATCTCAGGGAACCTTGTGTTTTGTTTTTGCAGTAGTTTAAAGGAAATCTTGTTTTTGACGTAATTTGAAAGACTCTCATGGATCCTTTGTGTTTTCTTTTTGAAATAATTTGAAAGTGGTTTGAAAGCATCAGGGGAACCTCTTGTGTCTGGTTTTTGAAGATGTTTGAAAGAATTTCGAAGATCCTATTTATATTGTCTCTGGAGTAGGTTGAAATAATCTTGGGAATCAAGGACCCCTTTTGTATTTTTTTTGAAGTGGTTGGAAAGAATATTGGCTTGTTTTTGAAGTAATTTGAAAGAATCTCAAGGCCCCTTTTATTTTTGAAGTAGTTTGAAAGAATCTCGTGCACTTTTTATGTTTTTTTTAACTAGCTTGAGAGAATCTCGAGGACCCTCTTTGTTTTGTGTTTGAAGTAGTTTGAAGGAATCCCTTGATTATTTTTGAAGTAACTTGAAAGAATCTTGAGGAGCTCTTGGGTTTTGTATTTGAAGTGGTTTCAAAGAATATCGGATATTTCTTGTCTTGCTTTTAAAGTAGTTTCGAAGAATCTCGGGGGCCTTTTTTGCTTTCCTTTTGAAGTAGTTTAAAAGAATCTTGGGATCCCTTGTGTTTTGTTTTTGCAATAGTTTAAAGGAAATCTTGAGGATTCCGTGTCTTGTTTTTGAAGTAATTTGAAAGACTGTCGAGCATCCTTTGTGTTTCTTTTTGAAGTAATTTGAAAGTGTTTTGAAAGCATCGCGGGAAGATGTTTGAAAGAATTTGGAGGATTCTATTTGTATTGTTTCCGAAATAATTTGAAAGAATCTTGGGGATCCTTGGTCATGTTTCTGAGGTAGTTTGAAAAATATTTTGTATTTTTTTGAAGTAGTTGGAAAGAATCTCGAAGACCTTTTCCGTTTTGTTTTTGAAGTACATAGTTTGAAAGAATTGCGGATATTTCTTGTCTTGTTTTTAAAGTAGTTCCAAATCTCGGGGATCTTTTTTTTTTCTTTTTGAAGTATTTGAAAGAATCGTGGGGATTCCGTGTCTTGTGTTTGAAGTAATGTGAAAGAATCTCGGGGATCCCTTATGTTTTCTTTTTGAAGTAGCTTCAAAGAGTTTCGAAGATATCGTGTCTTACTTCTCAAGTAGTTTGAAAGAATCTCGGGCATCTCTGGTTTTTGAAGTAACTTTGAAAGAATCTCGAGAACTTCATGGGTTTTGTTTTTGAAGTAGTTTGAAGGGATCCCTTATTTTGTTTTTGAAGTAATTTGAAAGAATCTCGAGGACTTCGCGTTTTGTTTTTGAAGTAGTTTCAAATCTCGGAGGTCCCTTTTGTTTTTTTTTAAGTAAACTGAAAGAATCTCGAGGATCCCTTTTGTTTTGTTTTTGAACTAGTTTAAAGGGATCCCTTGTCTTGTGTTTAGAAATAATTTGAAAGAATCTCGGGACCTTTTTTGTTATTTTTTTTTTAAATAGTTTGAAAAAATCTCTGGGACCCCTTTTGTTTTGTTTTAAAGTAATTTGAAACAATCTCGCGGATCTCATGTGTTTTCTTTTTGAAGTAATTTGAAAGAATCTCGAGGACCCCTTTTGTTTTGTTTTTGCAGTAGTTTGAAAGAATCTTGGAGATCCCGTGGACCAATTTTGATTTTGATGTAGTTTGAATTTCAGTGACCCCTTTTGTTTGTGAAGTAATCTGAAAGAATCTCGAACACCTTTTTTGGCTTATTTTTGAAGTAATTTGAAAGAATCTCGAAGACCTCTTTCGTTTTGTTTTTGAAGTACATAGTTTGAAAGAATTTCGGATATTTCTTGTCTTGTTTTTGAAGTAGTTCCAAATCTCGGGGGTCTTTTTTTTGTTTTCTTTTTGAAGTATTTGAAAGAATTGTGGGGATCGTGTCTTGTTTTTGAAGTAATGTGAAAGATTCCCGGGGATCCCTTATGTTTTCTTTTTGAAGTAATAGGAAAAAATCTCGGAGACTTTGTTTTTGCATTGCTTTAGAAGAATAAGAATAAGAATAAGTTTATTGCACAAATAGAACAGCGTACAAAAAGTTAGAATGCAGGCTAACCCTGATACTAAAACGATTCTAACTCATACCTACACACATTAAACATACAATATACAATTAGAATACGTAAATAAGTAAAATAAATAAAACAACCTTTGAAAGAATCTTGGAGATCCCGTGGACCTATTTTGATTTTGAAGTAGTTTGAAAGAATGTCAGGGGCCCCTTTTGTTTTTGAAGTAGCTTGAAAGGATATCTTGTCTTGTTTTTGAAGTAATTTGAAAGAATCTCGAAGACCTCTTTCGTTTCGTTTTTGAAGTACATAGTTTGAAAGAATTTCGGATATTTCTTGTCTTGCTTTTGAAGTAATTCCAAATCTCGGGCGCATTTTTTGTTTTCTTATTGAAGTATTTGAAAAAAACGTGGGGAAAGAATCTCGGGGATCCCATGTCTTTCCTTTTTGAGGTAATTTGAAAGAATCTCGGGGACCACTTTTGCTTTGTTTTTGCCGTATTTTGAAATAATCTTGGAGATCCCGTGGACCTATTTTGATTTTGAAGTACCTTTTGTGTTTTCTTTTTGAAGTAGTTTGAAAGAATATCGGGGACCTCTTTGTTTTGTTTTTGGAGTAGTTTAAAAGAATCTCGGGGACCCTTTTTACATTGTTTTTTAGGTAATTTTGAAAGAATCTCGGAGATCTCTTGTGTTTTATTTTTAAAGTAGCTTTAAAGAGTTTCGGAGATCTCTTGTCTTAATTCTCAAGTAGGTTGACAGAATCTCGGGCATCTCTGGTTTTTGCAGTAACTTTGAAAGAATCTCGGGGACTCCTCTTGTTTTCTTTTTGAGATAATTTGAAAGAATATCGATGACCCATTTTGTTTAGATTTTCCAGTGGTTTGAAAGAATATTGGGGACGACTTATGTATTATTTTTGAAGTAATCTGAAAGAATCTCTGGGACCCCTTTTGTTTTGTTTTTCAAGTAATTTGAAAGAATCTTGGACATCCCGTGGACCGATTTTGATTTTGATGTAGTTTGAAAAAATTTCAGAGGCCCCTTTTGTTTTTAAAATAATTTGAAACAACCTCAGACACCTTTTTGTCTTGTTTTTGAAGTAATTTGAAAGAATCTCGAAGACTTCTTTCTTTTTGTTTTTGAAGTACATAGTTTGAAAGAATTTCGGAT